ATGTATGTAAAAGCTAAATATTTTTGATTATTGGAAAAAAAACAAAAAGGTTGTTATTTAAATTCAAAAATATTTGCTTTTTAGCAATATAGTATATCACATAACTTTGCTCTTAATTTTGCTTGCTCTTTTATAGAACTTTGATTGTAAAATTCTTTTGGATAATTTTATACTTCTCAGAAAAGAGGAAAATGGAACACCCTTTGGTGGCGTTATATTGGCGAATTGAGCAGAATTTAAAATAAAAAAAGAAAAGTATTTCGATGAGGCGTTTATATAGTACGACTAAAGACCTTGAAAAATTGTTGGTAGTGAGCTTCCTATTATTAGAAGAGGATGCTGTGAATTATTTCAGCATCTTCTAATTTTCTCCTCACTGTTTTTTCTAGTGCAAAATTACGAATAATTCTTCGTAACTTTGCACTAGAAAAATTAATTATAGTAAAAGAAATGGCATAAATTCTTCCCATCACAAAAAAATTTCTTGTAATGAATGGGGTGCCAGGAGGTTTTGACAGATGAGCACCCGGGTTTATGTCCTAGTCTGTTCTAAGCGAGCGGACAGAAATAAGTTATTACTTCTTTGAGAATACGAAAGCAATTTCCTCCTGTACAACCCCTTATATCCGTCCGCTCGACTGCCTAATATGCCAGGTCCATAACTTATAATGCAAGCAGATTTTCTTTCTCTGTCTGCTTCGCCCACCCAAATAACCTTTAGAGTAAGAATTGTCATGTTGGGCGATAGAGTGTACAGTACGTACAGTACTCTACAATAGTCTCATAGTGCATGTGAGACAATTTTGAGACTGTGATGATAGCAAAAGAGCTTTCTAAAAAGTTGCAAAAGAACAAATGATTAATTGAACTCTAATTAAGCAGATGAACTCTAAGATCAAACAATAAAATTTATTCTGTGTAGAATTCCTCTTGATCTTGTGATTCTATCAATAAAATAATTAAATACTCTTTAATCTTACCTCATAAATGTAGAGCCTTAATTAACGTTAAAAACTGAGGAAGATTGTTATTTATATTCAGCAAAACTGAAATACTAATATTCAGTATTTCGAAGTTAACAATTTTTATAAATAACTCGGTATATAAACACAACAAAATGTAAATATTTGAAAACACTGTGCTTTTACTTATTAAATATGTTAAATTAGAACATCACTTATCAATTAAACAAATGATAAAAATATTAATTAATTCATTAATTATTTTAATACCATTATATATTATGATTTTCAAATTTTACATTTAAAACGAAACGATTTTCTGTAATTCATGGTATGAAAATTAAACAAGTTTTTATTGAATATTTATCCATCATGAATAATCTGAATTTAAATGTTAAATAAACCTATTTTTTGATAGAAACGTAAATTTTTTTACTCATACCAATATATAAATTTTTTTATTTAAACTTAAAAATTTATAATAGATTTACTTAAATGTATCAGCATTCTTATTTCACGATTCAGATATTTCAATTCATTACTACCCTTTTTCGACAATCTACATCATTACCTAACATGTTACGGAAGAATAAATTTTATAGTAATAAAGAAAACTTTTATGGCACAACAGGCATTTAACTTTTAGATGGCATCATGTCATCTAAAAGTAAAAGTTTTATAATTATTTTAACTTTTACTATTTCGAAGAATGGTTACACAACAAAACTCTTTATATATATTTCGTTTAAAATATATAAAGGAAATTAAGTTTGCAAACGAATCTGTTGTTTTTAGTCTTCCTATAAAAACACAGTTAAAATAAATAAAATAGCTGTATGTTAGTCTGCTCTGTTCAAGATACTACTTTTTAATTTGCAAAATTTGGGTTATTTTTTCCATCATAACATACACTATGTAAATATATTCTGTACATTTAGCCTAAATACTATACGTATGGAGTATATATAAATATCCATTTTACTGTACGTGCGTGCAAAAACGATACCATAAGTGGTTTTTTTTGTATTGTTATTAGTGAAAGATTTATTTAAAATATTTGATTCAGTATTATGTTTAAGACGAATATTATCAAAACTCTGAACAACGGCCTCGGACAGCCTTTATTTAGAGGTTTGATTAAAAATTGGAAAAAAATGACCGTTGTTTGGAGGTTATTTTTATGTATTTTTGATTTAAAAAAGTTCCTAAAAAAGTAGCCGCTGTTTAGAAGTAGTCGTTATTGTAAGTTCGATCGTATTTATAAATTTAAATTCTCTATAATGTCAATTTTGTTAAGATTTGTTAATTTATATCGATATTTCTAAAAATTGTAAAAATGTTCGGAAAAATTGAAGAAAATTAAATTTTTATTTTAAATTCATTTAATGGAATAAATAAACAATTTAACTTTGTATGCTAATTTATTTCTCCATTTTAAACAACTGTAACAATGAAAAAGTTTTTGAAATGAATGTGAAATAAAAAAAGTAAAATCCATAATTTAATAATAAAGTAAAATAGAATATATGATTTAAAATATATATTAAGAACTAAATCATATGATAGCTTTTTCTTTCTGTCAATACAGTATATAAATATATATTTGTATATAGCCAACTATAATATATTCACCACGCAACTTGTATATATTCACCACGCATCGACAAATTTGAACTATAAAGCATGATACACTTGTTTGAAAGTATAATTTTTCATAGTTTTTCTGCACGAAAGTACTTCGGAATTATCATTGGAATAGAGAAACTCTCGATAATTATCCTCCGAATTCTGTAGTAGGTTGTTTCTTTTGGAGCTTAACAATAGTATGAAGCGTAAAGAAAACCATTTATTCTCTTAATGGGTGTGCTGAAGATTGTAACTTTCAATTTCTTCTTTCGATTTGATTTTTTTTTTAATTCAAACCTTGACATTTGCTTCTGAAGTTATTATTTCTGTGTGTAATCATATATTTTAAAACTCCGTTTATATATTTCTAAATTTATTGTTTATTCAAATGTAGGAAGATTAATTTATTTTGCTTTAAAATTATCCTTCAATTTTAAATAAATACGTATATTATAATAGTTTTTAAAATATCATCAGTTATATTGTTTTGTTTCTTCTCTGATCTTAAGATTGATATTTCGACACTTTTTAAAACTAAATTTTGGTTAATTATATAATATTTTGAAAATATTAATAGAATGAAAATGCAAATTATCAAACATTTTATTAAATGAAAATATTTTTTCTTATTAATATTAATTTGAATAATACACTAAAAATTAATAATAAAGTTAAGTTTAAACATAAATGTCAATTTTAGGTTTTAATAGAGAATTACCTAAAAAAAATGGGAAATATCGATATTACGATAGAAATAAAAAATTTGACTGTATTCTTAATTACTTAAGAATTAAAGAGCAATTGAAGTAATTATTAACCAATTTTTAAACTTTTAAATTAAACAATATATTTTAAATTTAAAGTAGTAATAATTTACATTTTAAAAATAGTAAACATGTCCAATTTTTACGTATAAATATTTCATTAAATATTTCATTAATGAAATATTTATACCTAAAAATTGGACATGTTTACGTATAAATATCATTTTTAACAAATAAATAATATATAAAATCCTGTAGATGAAATAACTCATGTCTACTCTATGATTGACATTATAGAGTTAAAAAATTCTTCGATTGATGAGACTGAAGTTATTTTTATAGATATAAAAATATAATAATTTAAATTTGTTTAAGAAGTATGATTTTTGCATTATATAAATTATAACACAATCATATTTCTAAACTTCGTATATTTTTACAAAATGTTATATGATAAATTATTATACACAATATTGTTGTTTATGAAGTCTGTTATAAGACAGATTCAATACTGTATTTCAAATCAATAAAATTTAATTTCTTTTACATTCCTGTATAGCTTTTTTACTTTTATTTAGGAAATATAGTTATAATAGAAAAACTGACAGTTTATACATGTAATATTTGTATACATAATTTATAAATTTACATATTGTTCTTTCTTCTCTGCTGTTGGAATCCGTACGATGTAAATAATAAGAAATATTTTATTGAAGTAAAATTTTACCCGTTGCTAACAGTCTAATTAGAGCTTACGAAGTCAGTTACTAATCTAATTATTTTATTAATACTTTAATGACACTTTACATAATAAGTATTAATTTGTAAACAATTTAAAATAGATGAATCGATATTTTAATCCATATCAATAAGTATTATGAAACACAATTTTAATTACGATACTAATATGTTGAATTAAAAGTATCTATTTTAAATTTCATTTAAAAATATTTTATTTTTTGAATGAAAAGCATAAGTTATTGTTTCGTAATGTAATATTTTATATCGATCCAATTTCTGTCGATAGACTGTTTTTGTTCTATTTTCGGAAATGGTGAGATAGATATAAGGCAAAATTTCGGAAATTGATGTTTATTTTATATATTGAATTGTTCTTTTTTTCTTCCAGTGGATAGAACTTTCAAAAATCGATTATATTATTCATATAACAAGCTGTTGTTGTCCGAATAATACGTGATTCGAATGATTTAAAATAAAATATAGTTATTTTTGTCATTTCAATTGATTTATTTTTCCGCAGATATTTCAACCAAGATATTTTCTCGCTATAAAACTCTGTTGTTGACTTCGTTTATAACACGAAAATGCTATAGATTTCAAATATTAATATATACCAGTGTAATGTATAAAATATATATATATATATATATATAAGTTATTCTCTTTATTAACTCGGGAATTTTTATAACTTGTTAAGAATGAGATAAGATAAGCTACATTTTTTTTCAAATTTTTTATTATAGTAAATAGTGTGGTAACTGGCATCTTCAATACGCATGCAACTATGATCAGCTTTCTCGCCCACTAGTAGTCAAAGGATACCACTAGAACATTGGTGATGGGTTCGAGCCTGACTAGTGGCTGGCCACGTAGGGATTTTCGGGTTTTCTACATGTGTAAGATCTAAATGGGGGCCTGTTTCCTGCTGAAAGTCCTGCCGGGAGGCATCCCTTTAGCATATTGTCCATCTGTTGAATTGCTGTATTCCATTAAACCAAACCAACTTTTTATAGTTCATTGTACAAGAGTTAAATACAAAATATAGTACATAAATGCACGAAAAACAATGTTTTACAGTAGCTATGATTCTGTGATGATTTCATCAGTTCCTGCTACATTCGAAATGCACAGTACCTTCCTTGACATTTCTGGCAGTTTTTAAAACGTCTAGATGTTATTCTAATGTTTTATGAATTGTATTTTAAATGTAACTGTAGACTTTGTTCGCATTTTGTTTTGTTAAAGGTGTTGCATTAAATTTTTGAGATATACATGTAAGTTTTTCTTTTATAAATATTGACTGGGGTATGTTGTATTGGTAGATACATTCTATAAAGTTTTGGTAAAAGCATAAAGATATTTATCGAGAAAATGTACGTGAGGAGTTATTCTACGGCGTCTGCATTTATGTAGGAAAATAAGTTAGCTTCAGAAATAATAGATAGACAAATTTATAATGTTTTCGCATTAATTTACTGTCAGAACTGGCGTTTGAAAAAAAAAATATATTTACAGTATTTTTTTGTTTCATTCAACGTCTGTTTAATTAACATGCTTTGTAAAACACATTTCATTAATTAATAGTGTGTAAAATGATATGAAGAATTGTTTGCTTTCGTTACAATATTTATTTTATTATTTTTTACAATATGTTCTATTTTATTTAAAAATAGGCGAATTATAACTCTCGATTATTTACGTGCGGTAATGTCAACTTGAAGAAAGCTTGTTTTTATGATTAACTTACGAACACTCTTACGTATAGATTCAAGAATTGTTGAAATATTCATGTTTAGTTTTTACATCGCTCCATTGACTTCGAATCTAGGAATAATGTTATAAATAGCATAATCGAAACCAAAAACAAAAAAAAGTTCAATCCTATATTAAAATACTGTAAATTATGTGCTTATTATTAGTTTTTCAAAACCGCAATGCAGAGTAATAATCAACACTTGATATAACTCATTCATTTATTCAAGTTTTTGTTGTGAAACAACAAAAACTGAAATAAATGAATGAGTTATGCCAAGTGTTGATTATTACGCTGCATTGCGGTTTTGAAAAACTAATATAAAGATACAACGAAATATGAAAGCAAATTATGTGCTGTTTTCTATTGACTCTTTAAAGGACTAACACTATAACCCATTTAGTCCTATATTCAGGGTTTTTCAGAAATGATTCTGGTCAAATTTCACAGACTTATAGATGAGAAAAACCTGAAAGAAAAGATCAAGGAATTTTTTTATTATCACAAGCTAAATTTGGGAATCTATTCCACAGACCCATATCTACGGAATGGACTCACATGTAGTCCTGACCACGTAATGCTTATGTACTGTACAAATCAAGTAACTTATCTGTTTGAAGGTTAGATCACATACTCAAGTCAAACTGTAATGCTCTCGCAACACATCTTGCAATATGTGTGAAACGATTGGCGCTCTTATTTAAATAGGACATCCTAACCAATAAAAGATCAGAGCGCGCTACTTAAATAAAGAATGAGCAGAGATAAAGGCAAGATGGAACGGATGAGTAGGCTAGGAGCTCTCCCAAGTAATTAGCTATATGTAAAGAATCCGTTAAGAATCATGTAATATTTTACCCTATAAATACATGTAGAATAGAAATATACTTTTGACTCGACTTCTTTGCTTTGTCTTCTTCGATAAAGTCTTCTTTGCCCAAAGATGGAAATACATAGACCTGGGGCCGTATTCTGGNACACAGGGTTCTCCAGTTTAACTAATCTGTCATTTTTTTATAAAAAAAGAAATATAGATGACTTAATTTTTATTTACTTATTTTTATATAGAGGAACCTATTCTTTTAAGGATATAAAGAAAAATAATGGGACAGATAATAAGAAACTGTTGAATGAGAGGATGAAAAGTGTACAGATGGATGATCCTGGCTGCATTTTATTTACGTCAGTATGTATCGTTATAACAAATTAAAACAACTTTAAAACATTAATTAAATTCGTAGAGCTTTTTAGTTTTCTTATAAACTTAAACTTAATTGTTTTCAAAATATTAGACTTACAATAATAAATACAGAGTTAAACACACTGAACGTTTTCTAAATATAAAAATGCACTTTGTGGCAGAAAAAGCAAATTATTTTTACGACCAAAATAGGGCTGAAAACAGAGTTCTACACTGCTCAACTTCTTTGTTTCTGCGCACGATACATGCTAATGAGAGGGATTGTCTGCGAACGTCATCGAAACGTCATATTATTAAAACAATTTGACGGAAAAGAAGACGCCACATATCACAACAGAATTAGAAATATTTATAATTCTATAAATATTCATGTAAGAAAACATCCCGAATTGTGATAAAACTCAAAAAATTATAAGAATTGTTGTTATTACTAAACTAGTAGCCATATTTCTTTTACGACTTTAACGTTTCTACATGGCATTATATATTTATTGTAGTAGTGTCCAAAATACGGTTCTAGGCGAAATACGGCCAGCGAACATATTTGACACATCACTTACGGACGATTCAAATAACACGTCAGCAGTTTATAGGGAAGGGATTCTGGATTCTGTTGTATTTGACCATTGCTGACTATGAAGGAGTAAGTCTTCGATGACGTATGATTGCACTCATCATTTATTTCTTACAAAATCGATTGAAAATAATCCGCGTGTGTTTGCGAATGGTTTAAACATCTGACCTGATGACAATTAGGGGAAAGAGATACCTTGATTTTTGTTGACTGGGATTATGGGAAAGAAGATCAAATATGGCAAATTTCTGCTGATATAATTTTTGAACGATTCTTTGTAAGTGGTAAATAGGCTTACATTTTGTGTCTATGGAATTTACAAATCGTTAGTGGCCTGCCTATGTACTGTACAATTTATGCGTAATTTGGTGCAAAAACTAAATTAAATTACTGTATTTTTACCAATACAGTAACTTTATTTCATCTTCAAGTGATAGACTATGCCATTTCTTTGAGGCTGCTCAGCGCAAAGAAAGAGTAGTAAGGGGTACTTTGAGTCTTGTTTGACTCAAAGTACCCCTTTGAGTCAAACAAGATGTACTTTTCATCCCTTTCTTCCAAGCTACTCTGCCTGAAAGGGTTGAGACTATCTCCAGTAAAAGTGAACATTAATTTGAATCAATTTTGTTATAAAATAATTACAATCACCAATAAGATAACATTAGAATTAATTTATTATTAATTTTCGTTATTTCAATTAATTTATTCTTTATATTTACTAGGGAACGACGGGTTTGCCGAAAGGAGCCGTTCTAACACATTTTCAGATGTTAAATCAAGGTATAATGTCTTGTAAAGTTCTTGGATTTTTTGAAAAGGTAAACTTTATTTATGGCTCAAATTAAATAAAAAATTAAGATAAAAATAAAAGTAACAGAAACTTGTTTTTCAAATTGGTGATTGGTGAGGGTTCGTGTGTGACACCTAAACCGAGAACCAGTTTCCCATAAAAGACCTCCCTGGTGGCATCCCCCTTCGCAGATCGCCCATGTAAACACAATCCAACGAAGATTTTATACTTAATACTGATATTACTGAATCGATAAATTTATAATTTTGTTGTAAGTTTACTGACTTCGTGGAGAATCAAAGGAAATTGCAAAAAATGTCATATAAAGTATAGGAGTCAAATTTAATGGGACTTCATTTCATCATCAGATCATTGTGAGTTCAAATTAAACAAGCAAACAATATTTTTATTTTGATATAATTCATGAAATAGACCAACCTCAACATTTCAGTTCATTGTTAATGAAAATCTTTTGATGACAATTTGATTTGGATGCAATATATTAACTGTTATATTTTATTGTAAATTAATAAACTAATCAGTGGGTTAATATTTTTTAAGGAAACCAAAAGAAATACAGTACAAATAAGAATTAAAAAGTTGTCAGAATTAATATAATCTTATAATTAAGAAAATGTTGAAAATGTTTGTAAATATTTAGAAATAAGAAACTTTACAAGTATAAGTATCTTAAAACATCATTCAAATTTCAAACTTATAACCTAACAATTTGATAACAGAAAAGTTATGTATAAATATTATGTTGAAAAATGAGTATTAAAGATTTTTAAATAAAATTTCTTTAAAGTGCAAATTTTTTAATAATTAATAATCTGAAAAAATCGACATAACATAAAAGTGTAAATGGTAAAATACTACAATGGCTATATGCAGTCAGATTGGCTTCGTCTGAGAGTTTCCTCCCTCAACATTTGAAATTTAACATCAACCTATATACTTGTTTTACATTATCAATACAGGAAAGATCTTTCTACCTCATTTCCCAAAATATTGGTGATTTTGAGTATTTTCTCCACATTGATTTTTATTTTTTTATAAATGCTTATTCATGATTATTGCATAATTCTTAAGTCTTGCCATTTTTTCTAATGTGTAATTTATTGTACACTACTTTTTACCTTTTTTGTAAAGTTTTAATTATTTTGCCGTTTCTTTTAATTCAATATTTGTTTTATTTTTAATGTGAGAATAAATCCATTGCATAGACATTTCCTACTGTAAATAATATTAAATAAATAAATAAATAACTGTTTGTGTACAACGTTTCATGTATTGTGAGATTAAACTTAAACAATTAAAGTGATGTAAGCAAGCAGCAAAATGAATAGTCTTATAAAATACTTCTAATATTATATTTTTAATAATTCTATTTTGTAATTCTTTTTAATAAAAAAATAAAAGATTTTTATTAAAAAACTTTCATTAAAAATTTTTAAAACTTTTATTGAAAGTATTATTGAATACTTTTAATAATAACTTTTGAAAGTATATAATTCAAAAGTTTTATCTTTTGAATTTAAAGTTATTATTGCAAGTATATACTTTAAATAATTTGTTTGTGTTTTGGTAATAATTATAAAATATCTGCATTAATTATACAATTTATTCATAAGTTGTAACAAATTGTGAAATTAAAATTGTTATTCGTAAAAAAAATAATAATAATTAATTTCTCTCAATATTCTTTTATTTTACACCTCATAAAAGCTATAAAATCTTTCATAAATTGAATATTTTTATTCACTTTTTATAAAATATTTTAGATAAGCATTATTCTACACTGCTTTCAGAGCTATAAAAGAACTGTAACGTATAACCTATACTCTGCTCCAAAAATATTACACTTTTAAAGCTGGCATTCAACAGTAAACAAATTCTGGATGTGGAATGGCAGTGAAAAAATAAAAGTTTAACACTGTATTATAGCACAAGGATGCATCATTAAAGAACAATTTCATCATAAATGTANCCCACGTTATAGGAGGGGTCAACTGTAATTTAACTAAAAGACTATTTTTTGTGTTGTGAATCACAGCGGGACTTTCTTTTATTTTAAAGGAAGTGCCTGAAAAGAGATGTTAAATTTGATACCAATTCAACATAGAAGATCTTTGTTGCTTTTCTCTTCAGGTGATCCAAAATGTCCCCAATAATTGGACAATTGAAATTAAATAAATAAGGTCAACTCCGATAGAAGAAGCGCGGAAGACTCAAAGGAGTTGTGCAAAGAAATGACTTCATATCCTTGTTCCCGCTACTCCATTTTTCCGCCTTCTGTCAAATTTGATCTTTAGATCGACAATTAAGGAAACAGTTGATCCTAAAATCTCAAGCCGAGAAAAATGAAATACCGAGGTAATAAGTTATGTACTTATGTAAACTCTCTCTCAAACAGAAAATGTTAATTTTAACCTAATAGATCAGATTTTGATTCCTTTTACAAAAAGGAACTCTAAGATATAGTTGATATGTCTTTATTCCAGCAAAATACGCAAACCATATATCTATGGTTTGCGTATTTTTCGTCTTATGATTTTATTTTAAATTTTGTTAATAAATTAATTTTGGTCAATTAAATTAATTGACTGTGTTTTGCCTAACTCCATCGGCTTATCCGCGGATCTAAAATCCGAAAATTAGCCATAAAATCCCATTCGCGTCCTAGGCCGCGTAATTGACTAGGTGGTGTCAGAAACCCTGATTTGAAAGAATCATTTGTTTTTTCAACAAATTAAACAGCCATCAAAAGCGTGTGATAGGGTCAGTCACCTGTACGTGTCATTGCTACCTGTTAACCTGCCTGAGTTAAGACCTATGATTGTTATGGTCGTTGAATCTATCACATCAGCATAAAACACTTGTAGTTGTAACTTATAATCAGTAAGAAGCAACAAGTACGTGTATTTGGTACTTACTCGTTAGTATTAAAACTCTTGGCTTGTAACTAATGGCTTGTAATTTGTAATTTTTATGCAACAATTTTTAGACGTGCTAACCAGAATGTGTTACGTTGTGAAGGGTGCTGACATTTAGATGTGGGCACACGTGATGTCTTAGGTAAAAGCTTTTTGAGTTGCTCTTTTATTTCATGCAAACTTTGTTAGTTCATATCAAATCTAAAAGAAATGTATACAACAATAAAACTTTTCTTATAATTTGAAACCCGTGTCGTATAATTTCTTCGTTTCTCAAACACAAATAAGTGTCACAAATTACAACATTTGGCGTTTTACCATCTTTATTCAGTTGATACGCGTATTGTTACAAGTTTCGGGCTAGTTCTGCCCCTCATCAGTCAACTAAAGTAATAAAAAAGAGCATACATAAAATATAACATCATATAGAAAGTTTTTTTTTATAAAAAAGAACATTTGTAGATAAATAAATTATTTCATGAAACATACCTTTGGATGTCAACAGACTTGAAAATTGTTTACCCATATACTGTACATGTAGTACAGCATTTTTAATATTTTTTTTAAAAAACAAGTACAGTGGAACCTCGGTATACGACCTTAATCCGTTCCTAGTGTTTGGACTTATACCGAATAGGACGTATACCAAACCAACCATTTCCATAAGAAGTAATGTAAAAATGATTAATCTGTTCTCATGTAAAAAAATGGCTGGCTTTAAACACCTCGCTTTCCTCGCTAGTTCCTGCTTGATTTTTCATGAGATCAGCATGTATCCTTTTAGCTTTCTCGCAAATAATTTCTTTCGATACGCTGTCGCCAGCGCACTGTTTTTCAGTTATCCAAAGCAAAAGTAATTTCTCGACACGATCTAATGTCTTCGATCTCTGTTTAGAAATTGATTTAACCCCATTCGCAACGTTAGCAGATTTTATAATGTCTTTATTTTTCACGATTGTCGATATCGTCGTTCTCGGAATACAGAATGCAACAGTTAAATCTCGAACACGCGTGCCACCTTCATATTTCTCAACAATCTCTTTTTTCAGTTCCATTGTCATTTTTTTATTTTTCTGTTGCCTTTTTGCAATTCATGATTAATAAAAATAATAAAATGTTACTTACAAATTAAAATCAGAAGAAATTTAACAAAGTTATAAACCGTGGCATCGCGAACGTCTAATCTGGTCTAGTACACCGATAGTGCTACTTGTTCATAGATGGCGCTTATAATTGAATTAAGTCGTATACCGAACAAAAGTCGTATACCGAGTAAAATTTGTTTCGTCCAAACAGGACGTATTCCGAATTGGACGTATTCTAAAGTAGACGTATACCGAGGTTCCACTGTATACTTGTATTTTTAAAAAAATATAAGAAATAAAGAAATAATTTATTTATCTACAAATGTTCTTTTTTATAAAAAAAAATCCTTTCTGTATGATGTTATATTTTATGTATGCTTCTTTTATTACTTTAGTTGACTGATGAGGGGCAGAACTAGCCCGAAACCTGTAACAATACGCCTATCAACTGAATAAAGATGGTAAAACGCAAAGTGTTGTAATTTGTGACACTTATTTGTGTTTGAGAAACAAACAAAAGCATAAAACTTCGATAATCTTTTATGAATACTCTGTTTGGCTGTATGGAACAAAATAGCTTTTCTTTTAAAATACGTTTATTAAATTCATGCTGGTTTTTCTTGTTTTAGCATCATTCCAGTGTAGTACGAGTATTACGATAAGCACATCTCCATAATGAGATAATGAGATGAAGCCTGAGATAATCATAAATCTTCATAAAACCATATAAATAAAACCAATAAAACAAAAGAAATAGAGTTTTTTATGTAAAAACTAAATTATTAAAATTTCCGTGTTTTTGTTTTGGTCTCTGCTTGCTTCTCTCTCCATTGTCTTGTTTATTCCTCATTTACATTGGTTTTTCCATTGTGTCAGGTTTTTCATAAAAATAAAAGCTGAGATCATATAATCTTAAACAGATTTACGCGTTAACAATTAATCAACTAATAATAACTTATTTTTTCCAGTTTCGCTTATTAATTTAAATTTTGTTTTAGTCTTGACCTCAGGTTTACTTCAGATATCTGAACAATTTTCTTAAATTTAGTTTTAGAGAAAATTCTCTAATTAAAGATTTGCAAACTGAGTGACTTCCGAGAGGACTTTCTACAAAAAATGGCTCCTATTTACGTATTAGACATGTAAAGAAAATCCGGAAAACGTTACATGGCCCATTAGTGAGACACGAACCCGCGATTTTTTCTACTCCACTACTGGCATTCAAATATTTAAGAATTCTCAGAATTATTTGTATAAAAATTGTGTTATTTGGAATTAAGCACAAAATTGCTACGAAGAACATCATACAGGAACACTTTATAATATTATTTATTTTACTTTTTCCATCGTTCTTGTATGTAAGATTAATTCCAAAGAACCAACTAAAAGAGAGAACAATAAGCAATTAAGTACTATGTATAAAAATTGTTTGACGTTTTGAATTTTAATACTTTTAGTAATTAATACAGTTAATTAAGTCATGATTTATTACATTTTCTCAGAAACCCATAATTTGCGTTCAAGTTCCACTTTTCCACATATTTGGTTTATCGGGAGGAACACTGTTAACATTGTTATGTAATGGCACAGCTGTTTATCCATCAGGACATTTTCATGCTCCATCTTCGCTTAAAAGCATAGAGGAAGAAAGGTAATTAAAATATTAAAAGAATTGATTTGGTCTTACGTCATTTAAATTTGTAAACGTTTTCATTAGGTGCACAATGGTATATGGAACACCAACTATGTTTGTCGATATGCTAATCCACATCTCTAAAGGGAATTATGATCTTAACAGTTGGAAAGAAGGTAATATGTTTTAATGTGTAATATAGATTATTGCATCTCATTTAAGTAAAATTCGTGAACTTTTTGACGAATTACGCTAGTTTTTGTTTTTCTAATTTTTAAATTAAATGAGAGTGTATTTTTTGAAAAATAATTATATAATTTAAATTTGAGCCACTTGGATGCTTAGACAGTTATGGAGTCAGCCTATCGTTCTGAAAACCCGGATCATATCTGGGCGATAAAAACCCCATAAATTTTTCAAGCTCTGGTCTGTTCTAGATAATTGATCATCTGCATCAGATCCGATCTTTATGTCATCCGATTGGGTGGAGTTTACAGTATTACACGGCTTGAGTTCCTGTTAGTAGAGAGAGTAATGGCAGCGATTCTTTTCTATGGAGAAGTAAATTAGCCATTTAAGCAGTGGCGTAGCGTGGGTGTCAGCCGCCCGAGGCGGAGGAAAATTTCGCCCCCCTTATATAGGTATCTCAATTTAAAAGACTAAAATTCAGTTTCGTCACAGAATAAGTAATGAAAAATTCCGTGCTAGTGTTGCCACCTTATTAAAATCGCTGACCCGTACGGCAGGTGAGGTTTGTTCGAATAGAAGTTCCTGACGCATGCGTATGTCATTTTGCAATGCGAAGAATAATGTGCAGTGCATCTGGTTCTAAATCAGTTACAGTTAGCGACTAGGGAGACTTGGATAGGAGTAACGCAAGTGACCTAGCTGTATTGGATATTGGAGGTGTATATATATACGAATAAATCGTACAAGCAAAAAAGAAAAAATAAAAAAAAAATAAAAAAAGGGCTAACAGGTCGCGCACGATATCCCCGGACGGCGAGTTGATTCCCGGACTATTCGGATGGATGGTAACACTATTCCGTGCTCATTTCAATCGGTCCGAGTCGTAGGTGGACGAAAATATGAAAGAAAATGGTTGAAATTCTTACAAGATATTATTATTATTTATTGTGAAATTTTGCCGCCCCCTAAAAAGTGCCGCCCGGGGCGGGCCGCCCCTGCCTCCCCCACTACGCTACGCTACGGCATTTAGGACGCTACTTTAGGTCACGTGGATACCTTCAAAATGGCCGATCTGCTACATGAGTCGAGTAGAGGTACTTTGAGTAAATTTCTGAACGTTTAAGAAAAAGTAAAGATATTTAAAATATTCTATGTCAAATATTTAATAAAACTTTTATTTTTCAGTTCTTCAGTTAAAATACATCATCGCCATAATGGTATTCTCAATTGAAACTTAAACTACTAGTCTGCGACTGTATTTTGAAACTAGAACTTTGATGAAAATCTACTCAATAATGAGAAAGATATCACTGTTTTTAATTTCACATATTTGTAATACACAATTCTAAGATATTTTAATTAAATATGACATTTAAATTTTAAAAAATCTCAGTTGAAAAATCATTATTTTTAAACTGCGATTTTTTATAATAATTTTTTAAATTATGATTTTTAAACTGAAAATTTTATTGGGTTATTTAATTACATTGCATTCAATTTAATTTTACCTCCAACATGGAGGTATGCCATTATTCTCTCTACTTAATTAAAGAAAACATTTCACTTTTATTCTTTACTGTTGGTGAAGTTATTACAGAAGAGGTACTAAGGTCTCGACATCTGCATGCCGTCATAAGTATAAGTACATCAGTATAGTCTATAATTGAATTCAATTGTCTATCCGTTTATTCGAGTATCAAGAGGTGAGAAAGGCAAAACCGATTTTTGCGAAACTTTATGGATGCATTCAGGATAGCTCTGGAAAAAATGTAGGCTATTTTTTAATTTCCGTCGATTTACATGTGTTCCAGCATCATGTGAAATTAAAGAAAATATTAAATAGAATAACATTACAAGAAGATATTGAAACATAGAAATAACAGCTTTTTATATAAAATTATTTTTGATTTCTCTATTACATTGGTCGCTAATCTTTCTGACCTCACGGACCACTAAACTCACAATTTTGAATCCCGCGAACTATCATAGATTTTTTAAACGATACAAACATCTATAAAATAATGATCATAAAGGTTCCATTTACTTTATTAATATGAAATTTACTTGTTTAATTATAACAAATTAGTGTGAAGTTTGTTGCTGCTTGTTAGAAATAAGTTTATATAAAGAGGCTATTCAAATTCGTGATATATATTCTGTGCCATACAAAAATATTCTGATTAGAAGCATAAGTAATTGAATCAATGAATTGACTGCCACAAGCCTACAAAGATCCAACATCTACACTGGATAAGAAATTTGTGTAAACTGCCTGAAGCTGTCAGCTTTCCCACAGAAGGCGGAGAATAAGAAATTCTACGAAAGTCTGTCAAGTGTAGCAAGTGATAAATAAGTGGACATTGAAAAGGAAGACAACAGCAATGACTGCGAGCACTTGAAAATGATATATGCAAACTTTTTCATGTAAAAAGAACTGCAGAAATAAAGTTCCTGAGAAGAACAGCATATGTCAGTTACCAAAACTTAAATTTTTCTTGCGTCCTTTCAAACGCCCTGAATACACCGAAAACTTCAGAATAACTGAATGTTTTAGCAGGTGGGAGCAAAAGATGTCTATGTGCAATGCAATTTAATAGAAATGTTTTTTATCAATTTTCTCAGTATGTATTTTGACATATGCTGTTTTTGCAATTATTTAAAGTACTATATGAAAACTATAAGATTTCTAGTGGTAGAATTTTAAAAATATTATTTCTGTCACTATTAAAAAGATAATTTTTTTGTAAACAGATATAATCTAGATAAAATAAATTTTTAAAACTTTAATAATAGTTATAGTTGGAGCCGCTCCAGTTCATGAAAATTTGATAAATGCTTTAAGGGACAAGTGTAAAGTAAAGATTTACGTAAGTGATGTTGAATAATATAAGAAAAATGAGTAAAAATTATAAAATTAATTTTTAACAGAAATTTATTTGTCAGAATGTATATGGTAGCACAGAAATATCTGGCATGGTTTCCATAGACAGCAAAATGAAATTTCCAAGTGCAGGAAGAATTTTTGAATACACAGAAGTATTATTTGAAAAATTTATTANGAAAAAATAAAAAATAAATAAAAAAAGGGCTAACAGGTCGCGCACGATATCCCCGGACGGCGAGTTGATTCCCGGACTATTCGGATGGATGGTAACACTATTCCGTGCTCATTTCAATCGGTCCGAGTCGTAGGTGGACGAAAATATGAAAGAAAATGGTTGAAATTCTTACAAGATATTATTATTATTTATTGTGAAATTTTGCCGCCCCCTAAAAAGTGCCGCCCGGGGCGGGCCGCCCCTGCCTCCCCCACTACGCTACGCTACGGCATTTAGGACGCTACTTTAGGTCACGTGGATACCTTCAAAATGGCCGATCTGCTACATGAGTCGAGTAGAGGTACTTTGAGTAAATTTCTGAACGTTTAAAAAAAAGTAAAGATATTTAAAATATTCTATGTCAAATATTTAATAAAACTTTTATTTTTCAGTTCTTCAGTTAAAATACATCATCACCATAATGGTATTCTCAATTGAAACTTAAACTACTAGTCTGCGACTGTATTTTGAAACTAGAACTTTGATGAAAATCTACTCAATAATGAGAAAGATATCACTGTTTTTAATTTCACATATTTGTAATACACAATTCTAAGATATTTTAATTAAATATGACATTTAAATTTTAAAAAATCTCAGTTGAAAAATCATTATTTTTAAACTGCGATTTTTTATAATAATTTTTTAAATTATGATTTTTAAACTGAAAATTTTATTGGGTTATTTAATTACATTGCATTCAATTTAATTTTACCTCCAACATGGAGGTATGCCATTATTCTCTCTACTTAATTAAAGAAAACATTTCACTTTTATTCTTTACTGTTGGTGAAGTTATTACAGAAGAGGTACTAAGGTCTCGACATCTGCATGCCGTCATAAGTATAAGTACATCAGTATAGTCTATAATTGAATTCAATTGTCTATCCGTTTATTCGAGTATCAAGAGGTGAGAAAGGCAAAACCGATTTTTGCGAAACTTTATGGATGCATTCAGGATAGCTCTGGAAAAAATGTAGGCTATTTTTTAATTTCCGTCGATTTACATGTGTTCCAGCATCATGTGAAATTAAAGAAAATATTAAATAGAATAACATTACAAGAAGATATTGAAACATAGAAATAACAGCTTTTTATATAAAATTATTTTTGATTTCTCTATTACATTGGTCGCTAATCTTTCTGACCTCACGGACCACTAAACTCACAATTTTGAATCCCGCGAACTATCATAGATTTTTTAAACGATACAAACATCTATAAAATAATGATCATAATGGTTCCATTTACTTTATTAATATGAAATTTACTTGTTTAATTATAACAAATTAGTGTGAAGTTTGTTGCTGCTTGTTAGAAATAAGTTTATATAAAGAGGCTATTCAAATTCGTGATATATATTCTGTGCCATACAAAAATATTCTGATTAGAAGCATAAGTAATTGAATCAATGAATTGACTGCCACAAGCCTACAAAGATCCAACATCTACACTGGATAAGAAATTTGTGTAAACTGCCTGAAGCTGTCAGCTTTCCCACAGAAGGCGGAGAATAAGAAATTCTACGAAAGTCTGTCAAGTGTAGCAAGTGATAAATAAGTGGACATTGAAAAGGAAGACAACAGCAATGACTGCGAGCACTTGAAAATGATATATGCAAACTTTTTCATGTAAAAAGAACTGCAGAAATAAAGTTCCTGAGAAGAACAGCATATGTCAGTTACCAAAACTTAAATTTTTCTTGCGTCCTTTCAAACGCCCTGAATACACCGAAAACTTCAGAATAACTGAATGTTTTAGCAGGTGGGAGCAAAAGATGTCTATGTGCAATGCAATTTAATAGAAATGTTTTTTATCAATTTTCTCAGTATGTATTTTGACATATGCTGTTTTTGCAATTATTTAAAGTACTATATGAAAACTATAAGATTTCTAGTGGTAGAATTTTAAAAATATTATTTCTGTCACTATTAAAAAGATAATTTTTTTGTAAACAGATATAATCTATATAAAATAAATTTTTAAAACTTTAATAATAGTTATAGTTGGAGCCGCTCCAGTTCATGAAAATTTGATAAATGTTTTAAGGGACAAGTGTAAAGTAAAGATTTACGTAAGTGATGTTGAATAATATAAGAAAAATGAGTAAAAATTATAAAATTAATTTTTAACAGAAATTTATTTGTCAGAATGTATATGGTAGCACAGAAATATCTGGCATGGTTTCCATAGACAGCAAAATGAAATTTCCAAGTGCAGGAAGAATTTTTGAATACACAGAAGTATTATTTGAAAAATTTATTATTATTGTTAAGAAATTATAATTAAATGCTAATCACAATTAGAGTATTATTTCTGTAGATAAAAATTGTTGACACAGATGGGAGAATAGTCCCTATAAATACAAAAGGTGAAATTCTATGTCGTTCTCCTTTCGTATGTTCTGGTTATTGGGATGAAAAAGAGAAAACTGCTGAAACGTTTGATAACGCAAGATGGTATCACACTGGGTAAGTCTTCTTTTAACAATATCTATTAAAATTAACTTTTACTTTTAAATTTGATTAATGGAACAAGACAACGCAACACACGAGCGATCTGACAAAAGGAGTGTATCCCAGGAGATCTTTCTATGAGAAACTTACCCCTATTTAGGTATTAGACATGCGAAGAAAAACGGAAAACTCCAACCCGTTAATGAGGCTTGAACGCAACTCACTCCGAGCAGTTTTGTGCACTTGACTACTGGTGGGCGGAGGGAAAAATTGATAAAATAAAAACTATAGAACTCATCTGCATAAAAATAGTCTTGAAATAGAGTGATCCGGATTCGATTTCTATATTGAGTGGGCCTTACAACTTTTTATGCTAGTTCGAATCTGTATATCAATCTCTACCCTCCATCTGGGCCAGTGTTTTCCAACCCGTGTGCCGCGACACACTTGTGTGTCGCGAGAGTGCCTGAGCGAATCGCGAAATATTAAATATATTTTAGAATTTTGAATAAGCTCTGTTTTTAAAATTTCATTTATCTTTCATCTCTTTACCGCTGGCCGATCGAAGGGAGAATGAGGTATTCGCTGAAATGTAAATTGTTGCAAAATTTGCGGCATCGGCATACACCCTAAAAAATGTGTGCGGGCCTACCGACTCTTTGGAGCTTTTATAAATGTCAGTGGCGTGCCGTCATTAGAAGCGGTGGATGCGCCGCTTTCCTTGTGTTTTCTAAAAAATAAATACATATTAATTTTAATTATATGAATATAATGGCACACTATTTTATTATAACCGCATTATGTATCTTATTACAAATTTCTATACTACACGTGAAAAAAAGATAAGATTGCTATTGTATATTCGAATATTAGTGGCGGAGTGGAAGCGCTATATTGTCAGCCTCCAAACATCCAGATTCGCCCATGCGCTTTACGAAGCACCAACCTCACCCGGTTTAGCTAGTAATTAAATAATTAAGCGATTAGGGTATTGAGGACATAAATAAACCCTGACAAAAGAGCCGGAATATTACTTAAAAGCTTAACCGAACCAATCTCTAGCCGAGTACATTGGAAACCGATTTCTTCGTAATATTAGATAATAAAGACAGAAAATTTTTCCAGTTGAATGAGAGTGACCGAAAATTTGTAAATTTTGGAAATTTCCGTGGACATCTGGACCTAAAACGAATTAGTTAGAGAAAAAATGACTATTAAGTTTAACAAATTTGGCAGCCCGCGTGCAAGCACGCACCGCACACCTAGCAGGACTGTCTCTGATTCCACTCGTAGAGAGCTATTTGACTAAGTGGTTATGATTTATAGAGTAAAGAATATTTTATTAAAGCGAGAATTGGCATTTAGAGAGCACATGGAATACATTGGATCTAATAATAAAGAGGTAATTATAGCTTTTTATATAAAATTATTTTTGATTTCTCTATTACATTGGTCGCTAATCTTTCTGACCTCACGGACCACTAAACTCACAATTTTGAATCCCGCGAACTATCATAGATTTTTTAAACGATACAAACATCTATAAAATAATGATCATAATGGTTCCATTTACTTTATTAATATGAAATTTACTTGTTTAATTATAACAAATTAGTGTGAAGTTTGTTGCTGCTTGTTAGAAATAAGTTTATATAAAGAGGCTATTCAAATTCGTGATATATATTCTGTGCCATACAAAAATATTCTGATTAGAAGCATAAGTAATTGAATCAATGAATTGACTGCCACAAGCCTACAAAGATCCAACATCTACACTGGATAAGAAATTTGTGTAAACTGCCTGAAGCTGTCAGCTTTCCCACAGAAGGCGGAGAATAAGAAATTCTACGAAAGTCTGTCAAGTGTAGCAAGTGATAAATAAGTGGACATTGAAAAGGAAGACAACAGCAATGACTGCGAGCACTTGAAAATGATATATGCAAACTTTTTCATGTAAAAAGAACTGCAGAAATAAAGTTCCTGAGAAGAACAGCATATGTCAGTTACCAAAACTTAAATTTTTCTTGCGTCCTTTCAAACGCCCTGAATACACCGAAAACTTCAGAATAACTGAATGTTTTAGCAGGTGGGAGCAAAAGATGTCTATGTGCAATGCAATTTAATAGAAATGTTTTTTATCAATTTTCTCAGTATGTATTTTGACATATGCTGTTTTTGCAATTATTTAAAGTACTATATGAAAACTATAAGATTTCTAGTGGTAGAATTTTAAAAATATTATTTCTGTCACTATTAAAAAGATAATTTTTTTGTAAACAGATATAATCTATATAAAATAAATTTTTAAAACTTTAATAATAGTTATAGTTGGAGCCGCTCCAGTTCATGAAAATTTGATAAATGTTTTAAGGGACAAGTGTAAAGTAAAGATTTACGTAAGTGATGTTGAATAATATAAGAAAAATGAGTAAAAATTATAAAATTAATTTTTAACAGAAATTTATTTGTCAGAATGTATATGGTAGCACAGAAATATCTGGCATGGTTTCCATAGACAGCAAAATGAAATTTCCAAGTGCAGGAAGAATTTTTGAATACACAGAAGTATTATTTGAAAAATTTATTATTATTGTTAAGAAATTATAATTAAATGCTAATCACAATTAGAGTATTATTTCTGTAGATAAAAATTGTTGACACAGATGGGAGAATAGTCCCTATAAATACAAAAGGTGAAATTCTATGTCGTTCTCCTTTCGTATGTTCTGGTTATTGGGATGAAAAAGAGAAAACTGCTGAAACGTTTGATAACGCAAGATGGTATCACACTGGGTAAGTCTTCTTTTAACAATATCTATTAAAATTAACTTTTACTTTTAAATTTGATTAATGGAACAAGACAACGCAACACACGAGCGATCTGACAAAAGGAGTGTATCCCAGGAGATCTTTCTATGAGAAACTTACCCCTATTTAGGTATTAGACATGCGAAGAAAAACGGAAAACTCCAACCCGTTAATGAGGCTTGAACGCAACTCACTCCGAGCAGTTTTGTGCACTTGACTACTGGTGGGCGGAGGGAAAAATTGATAAAATAAAAACTATAGAACTCATCTGCATAAAAATAGTCTTGAAATAGAGTGATCCGGATTCGATTTCTATATTGAGTGGGCCTTACAACTTTTTATGCTAGTTCGAATCTGTATATCAATCTCTACCCTCCATCTGGGCCAGTGTTTTCCAACCCGTGTGCCGCGACACACTTGTGTGTCGCGAGAGTGCCTGAGCGAATCGCGAAATATTAAATATATTTTAGAATTTTGAATAAGCTCTGTTTTTAAAATTTCATTTATCTTTCATCTCTTTACCGCTAGCTGATCGAAGGGAGAATGAATTTACATTTCAGCGAATGAGGTATTCGCTGAAATGTAAATTGTTGCAAAATCTGCGGCATCGGCATACACCCTAAAAAATGTGTGCGGGCCTACCGACTCTTTGGAGCTTCTATAAATGTTATGGCGTACCAGCTTTAAGACCCACAATAGTTTTACGTATTAATTCAAATAGTATTTTTATTTTTATAATATATTTGTAAAATTGTGAGGTTTTGTTTTGGTAAGTTTAACTTCCGTATTATCAATTTTTAAAAAAATTAACAGTTATTCATTTTAAATTTTCTTTGTCAACTAACGAATAAGTTCCCGAATAAAGAAATTATGTGAACAACCCGAACAAAACTATCACATTAGAATTAGGATCCTTTTTAATAATTTTTGTTAAATAAATAACTTTTTTAAACCATAGTTTGTTCTATTATATTCGGTACGATTATTTCTTTCGTAATAAACAAAAACATACATAAAAATGTATTATGATTGTCGCAATTTTAAACATTTTTATTTTAAAAATTATGATGTGTCGCAGGAAGCTTATTAAATTCAAAGCGTGTCGTTAATCCAAATAGTTAAGAAACACTGGTCTAAACTATCGCCTGCTTTGATGTTAGATCGACCCATACATTTGATATCGAGTATATATAATCTTTGTGTATTGATCTCGCAATTAAGAATCCATTGAATCACACCAATGCACCCACACTATAATAAATGATAGATTATTAATATTTTAAATTAAACAAATAATAAACTATTGTCTATTACCTAGAGACGTGGGAGTTTTAGACGAGAACGGATGCGTTATTATTACTGGAAGAATTAAAGATATGGTTATTCGTGGAGGTGAAAATATATATCCTCAAGAAATTGAAAACTTCCTTCTTTCTCATCCGGCAATATCAGAAGTATATGTAAGTATATATGCATTCTGAATATATGATTTAATAACGTATATGTTTGCGAACTTTTTATAATAATTGAAACTGACGATGACTGAACTGAAAGGTTCATTCATGTAATACAAAGTAAATCTGCCATTTATGAAAAAGACTGCAAAATCTATGATGAGTTAAAATATGAGTTAGTTCGGTTAGTCGACTGTTTGGTTATAGTGAGCGCGCAATGACTATCGGCCGATCAATCAGTCGGTCCACTAAAAATTGCATCTTAGCGCCTAGCTTAATGTAACGTATTTTTCTAGGTGATAGGTGTCCCAGATTCGAGATTAGGAGAAGAACTTTGTGCTTGCATTCAGTTGAAACAAGGGCATAAACTAACCGGAGAGGACGTAAAAGAGTTCTGTAAAGAAAAGGTAAATTACATTATTTATTTTCAATAACATACTTTTAGATTCAAATTGCAATTACTCTACTCAACACCTTCTGCAGAGAGAGCCAATGGGCAAGACTTCGTTAAATTTTTTATATATTCAGACCACAGGGGGAGAATACTTTCAGAAATCACAGTTACCGGTGGTATGTAAAGTCCAAGTTAGTTAGATTTACAATAACGCTTGTAGTCAACCGTAATTAACCTATTCAGGAATAGACACAATTGACTATAGACAGGGATTTTAATGAAATTATAATGATTGAAAATCAGTTGAGTAAATCATTGCTGTAATGAAACATACTGCTGCTAGAGGTATCGGTATTTTCAGTATCAGACTGTTAGTGTCAGAGAATGTGTTCATGGTTGAAATCAATTAACGTTAACTCTTCCTTATGGAACTATTAATAACTGGAAAGGAAAAACCTAGTCAATCCCTGAAGCTAGTACAAGCGCGTGTCTGGTGGTCACCACACTTGCGAGGAAGAACGAAAATTTGTGTGCATTTATCAAAATATTGCGTTCTGAGTTAATTTGTTTAAACTGGATATAATGGAAGAGTAACTGACAATAGAATAAAAGTCGATGAAATTGTACTGTGTGTCTTTGTAATATATTGTTATTAATTTTATTTTTATGCGTTTGTAAATAGACGATTTGATATTTGATTTGAACATATGCACTTTACTTTATGTTCAAGCTGCCTTAGAGATCCATGATGAAAACGAAATAACTTAATAGTATTCTCATTGATCAATTTCCTGGTGCATCCAATCAGAATGTTATTGTATGGTCTAGAATGTGTGTTGCGAAATTGACAGCTTCTTAATCACATCATCAGTGACTTTTATAATCCTTACTGTTTGAGATTGAACTTTTACTCGATAAATGGGTGTTGCTTACGTACCCGCAATTAGAATTCCCATTTCTTTCTTTTTGTGGTTTGTGTGGCTAATTCCATGAACTTTGTCCTATGAAATAACATTTTCTTTCCTCTTCTTTCTTGGCCACGAACACCCACCAATATGATGTTGAGGTTACTTCAATCCAGAATACATTTCAATGTGGTTGGTCATCTTGTAAGCCAATCTTTCTCACCAAAACAGTAACTGTTGGGGACATCTGTTGTCGATAAAATAAATTCAATTTTAAAAATGCTTGGCGGGCCGCATAAACATGTTTAACCGGCCGCAAGCGGCCCGCGGGCCGCGTGTTGCTCATCCCTGGTCTAAACTATCGCCTGCTTTGATGTTAGATCGACCCATACATTTGATATCGAGTATATATAATCTTTGCGTATTGATCTCGCAATTAAGAATCCATTAAATCACACCAATGCACCCACACCATAGTAAATGATAGATTATTGGTATTTTAAATTAAACAAATAATAAACTATTGTCTATTACCTAGAGACGTGGGAGTTTTAGACGAGAACGGATGCCTTATTATTACTGGAAGAATTAAAGATATGGTTATTCGTGGAGGTGAAAATATATATCCTCAAGAAATTGAAAACTTCCTTCTTTCTCATCCGGCAATATCAGAAGTATATGTAAGTATATATGCATTCTGAATATATGATTTAATAACGTATATGTTTGCGAACTTTTTAATAATTGAAACTGACGATGACTGAACTGAAAGGTTCATTCATGTAATACAAAGTAAATCTGCCATTTATGAAAAAGACTGCAAAAACTATGATGAGTTAAAATATGAGTTAGTTCGGTTAGTCGACTGTTTGGTTATAGTGAGCGCGCAATGACTATCGGCCGATCAATCAGTCGGTCCACTAAAAATTGCATGTTAGCGCCTAGCTTAATGTAACGTATTTTTCTAGGTGATAGGTGTCCCAGATTCAAGATTAGGAGAAGAACTTTGTGCTTGCATTCAGTTGAAACAAGGGCATAAACTAACCGGAGAGGACGTAAAAGAGTTCTGTAAAGAAAAGGTAAATTACATTATTTATTTTCAATAACATACTTTTAGATTCAAATTGCAATTACTCTACTCAACACCTTCTGCAGAGAGAGCCAATGGGCAAGACTTCGTTAAATTTTTTATATATTCAGACCACAGGGGGAGAATAGTTTCAGAAATCACAGTTACCGGTGGTATGTAAAGTCCAAGTTAGTTAGATTTACAATAACGCTTGTAGTCAACCGTAATTAACCTATTCAGGAATAGACACAATTGACTATAGACAGGGATTTTAATGAAATTATAATGATTGAAAATCAGTTGAGTAAATCATTGCTGTAATGAAACATACTGCTGCTAGAGGTATCGGTATTTTCAGTATCAGACTGTTAGTGTCAGAGAATGTGTTCATGGTTGAAATCAATTAACGTTAACTCTTCCTTATGGAACTATTAATAACAGGAAAGGAAAAACCTAGTCAATCCCTGAAGCTAGTACAAGCGCGTGTCTGGTGGTCACCATACTTGCGGGGAAGAACGAAAATTTGTGTGCATTTATCAAAATATTGCGTTGTGAGTTAATTTGTTTAAACTGGATATAATGGAAGAGTAACTGACAATAGAATAAAAGTCAATGAAATTGTACTGTGTTAGGGTTTGCGTCTTGTGTCTCGAAGTCCCGGGACTTTTTCTAAATTTAATTGTCTCGGGTCCCGGGACATTTGGGTCAAGACTCGAGACACGCAAATTAAAATTGTATTTTCGAAATTTTATTTTCAAAAGGTTAGCCGAGTGACGCTTCCTTTGTTCTCCTTCCTGTTTACAAATAAACAACGGAGGGTAATTTACAAGGCCGCGTGACTTTTAACCTTACTCTGTTAAATGTTTGTTAAAATATTTGCACACTGGCCACCACAGCTCACAGTCGCAAAATACAGATTTTTTTACTTCGAATTTGAATAAAGCTGCACTTATTGCCATTGCGGAAGATCTGCATTACAGACTTTTTGAAAATATCCCTCGTATCCAAACGCCAGATTTGGAAATAATGGACGCCGAATCCAGTACCAGTAGCTCTACAGTACACAACGAACCCGATGAGTCGTTTCAAAGTCAAATGGACTTTGAAACGACTCATCAAACAGGCAATCAAAAAATCGAAGAAAATGTATCCGAAATTCTTGCAAAAAGATCAAGAGCAGCATTAAAAGAGGGGTTCCAGTTATTTGAAGAAACCGGAAAACGCACTGAAAGTTTGAAACTACTTTATAAAGCTTTAAACACAATAAAACCGACATCTGTTGAAAACGAGAGTGTGTTCTTCTTGTCCGGAGGCATTATTACAAAAATCAGAAACAGATTATCGGACAAACTGTAAATGCTCTGATGTTTTTAAATGCCTATTTTATTAAATCAGAAAAGATGTCTAATTGCTAGTTCATTATATTATTTATATGACTAATGAATAGAAACTAGGTGATGATTATTAATGATTAGTATGATTACTAAGTTGGTTTTATAATTTTAAGATTTTACTGCCAAAAAAATGAATCTATGATTATAAAAATTAAACATTCGAACTGTTTAGACTTTAATTAACGTTATAAATTGCAGGATTTGATTTTATGATCAATAAATTTTGATTTTTACTAAAATTGCTGTTTTATTGATACATCGCGCCAAAAATGAACTGGCTTCTAATTATATTCTGAAAAGTCTCGAAGTCCCGGGACTTTGAGAATGTCGAAACTTCCCANGTAACTCGTCACAAAAAATTGTTTCGGTTTAGTATGTACTACCATTTTATTATAATTAATTTTATAACAATATATTGATGGGAGAAAGTCGATAAAATAAATTCAATTTTAAAAATGCTTGGCGGGCCGCATAAACATGTTTAACCGGCCGCAAGCGGCCCGCGGGCCGCGTGTTGCTCATCCCTGGTCTAAACTATCGCCTGCTTTGATGTTAGATCGACCCATACATTTGATATCGAGTATATATAATCTTTGTGTATTGATCTCGCAATTAAGAATCCATTGAATCACACCAATGCACCCACACTATAATAAATGATAGATTATTAATATTTTAAATTAAACAAATAATAAACTATTGTCTATTACCTAGAGACGTGGGAGTTTTAGACGAGAACGGATGCGTTATTATTACTGGAAGAATTAAAGATATGGTTATTCGTGGAGGTGAAAATATATATCCTCAAGAAATTGAAAACTTCCTTCTTTCTCATCCGGCAATATCAGAAGTATATGTAAGTATATATGCATTCTGAATATATGATTTAATAACGTATATGTTTGCGAACTTTTTATAATAATTGAAACTGACGATGACTGAACTGAAAGGTTCATTCATGTAATACAAAGTAAATCTGCCATTTATGAAAAAGACTGCAAAATCTATGATGAGTTAAAATATGAGTTAGTTCGGTTAGTCGACTGTTTGGTTATAGTGAGCGCGCAATGACTATCGGCCGATCAATCAGTCGGTCCACTAAAAATTGCATCTTAGCGCCTAGCTTAATGTAACGTATTTTTCTAGGTGATAGGTGTCCCAGATTCGAGATTAGGAGAAGAACTTTGTGCTTGCATTCAGTTGAAACAAGGGCATAAACTAACCGGAGAGGACGTAAAAGAGTTCTGTAAAGAAAAGGTAAATTACATTATTTATTTTCAATAACATACTTTTAGATTCAAATTGCAATTACTCTACTCAACACCTTCTGCAGAGAGAGCCAATGGGCAAGACTTCGTTAAATTTTTTATATATTCAGACCACAGGGGGAGAATAGTTTCAGAAATCACAGTTACTGGTGGTATGTAAAGTCCAAGTTAGTTAGATTTACAATAACGCTTGTAGTCAACCGTAATTAACCTATTCAGGAATAGACACAATTGACTATAGACAGGGATTTTTATGAAATTATACTGATTGAAAATTAGTTGAGTAAATCATTGCTGTAATGAAACATACTGCTGCTAGAGGTATCGGTATTTTCAGTATCAGACTGTTAGTGTCAGAGAATGTGTTCATGGTTGAAATCAATTAACGTTAACTCTTCCTTATGGAACTATTAATAACTGGAAAGGAAAAACCTAGTCAATCCCTGAAGCTAGTACAAGCGCGTGTCTGGTGGTCACCACACTTGCGAGGAAGAACGAAAATTTGTGTGCATTTATCAAAATATTGCGTTCTGAGTTAATTTGTTTAAACTGGATATAATGGAAGAGTAACTGACAATAGAATAAAAGTCGATGAAATTGTACTGTGTGTCTTTGTAATATATTGTTATTAATTTTATTTTTATGCGTTTGTAAATAGACGATTTGATATTTGATTTGAACATATGCACTTTACTTTATGTTCAAGCTGCCTTAGAGATCCCTGATGAAAATGAAATAACTTAATAGTATTCTCATTGATCAATTTCCTGGTGCATCCAATCAGAATGTTATTGTATGGTCTAGAATGTGTGTTGCGAAATTGACAGCTTCTTAATCACATCATCAGTGACTTTTATAATCCTTACTGTTTGAGATTGAACTTTTACTCGATAAATGGGTGTTGCTTACGTACCCGCAATTAGAATTCCCATTTCTTTCTTTTTGTGGTTTGTGTGGCTAATTCCATGAACTTTGTCCTATGAAATAACATTTTCTTTCCTCTTCTTTCTTGGCCACGAACACCCACCAATATGATGTTGAGGTTACTTCAATCCAGAATACATTTCAATGTGGTTGGTCATCTTGTAAGCCAATCTTTCTCACCAAAACAGTAACTGTTGGGGACATCTGTTGTTTTTGTGAATAAATCTTGATGTCTGCTGACGTGTTTTTTTGTAAAACATTCTAAATCTTTCACATAAAATATCTCTGTTGGCATTTCCTGTTGTTTCATAACATTTCATGGGCAAGACATCCATCATTAGGGTTACCAGATGCAATGAAAAACCCATTTTTGCCCAATTTTGGCATATGTTGTTTTTGCAAAAAAAAAGCCTCAATTAAAACTCATTAGCAAAAGTGAATTTAAGATTTGAAAATATTCCATGCAGATTTGAAAATATTCGGATTTGAAATTATTCCATATGAAAGCTGAATCACTTTAAAATTACAGAACTTTGCCTGTTATATCACTAGTGTTGCCACCTTTTTAGAATCGCTGACCCGGACGGCAGGTGAGGTTTGTTCGAACAGAAATTCCTGAGGCATGAGTAATGTCATTTTGCAATGCGAAGAATAACGTGCAGTGCATGCCAGTTCTAAATCAGTTACAGTTAGGGACTAGGGAGACTTGGGTAGGAGTAACGTAAGTAACCTAAATGACTTAGCTCTATCGGATATTGGAGATGTGTATGAATACGAATCGTACAAGCAAAAATAAAAAAAAGGTCGACAGGTTGCGCACGACATTCCCGGACAAAATTAATAGTTCACCCGGACAGTGAGTCGATTCCCGGACTGTCTGGGTGAAAACCTGACGGGTGGTAACACTATATATCACACGAATTTTTTCTCGTTTTACATTTTTTCTTGGCAGCATTTACAGCTACACTTTACATCCACTATTTCTCCATTATTTAAATTTTCTCACTACTCCCATTCTTTCCCCAAAAGAATTAGCGAGTTGACACTGCCAGAAGCATAAAAAGATCCAATACATATACCGGACTTGTGAACTGCTTGAAGTTGTCAGTTTTCTTACAGAAGGCGGAGAAAAGAAGTTCTACGAAAGTCTGTCAAGTGTTATAGGTGATAAACAATATGTGGACTTTGAAGAGAAAGGCAGTGGCTGCGAAGACAGAGATGACACGTTCAAAAAGTGCAAAAAGAACTGCAGAAATAAAGTTTCTGGGAAAGAACAGCATAGGCCTATGTCAGTTACCAAAATTTTAATTTTTCTTGGGTCCTGTCAAAGGCTATATTTCGACAATACAACAAAAACTTCAAAATAACCCACTGTTTTGGCGATGAGAACAAAAGATGCAATGCGATGCAATTTAATTAATAGAAACGGTTTTTATGAATTTTCTCAACAGTATTCTGACATATGCTGTTTTTGCAAAAAAGGCCTCAATTTTTAAATTTTTATGAGCTTTGACTTTTTTAATAACATGTTATACAAGTTTTATTTTGAATAGCCTTTAATTTTTGTTGTTGTTATTTTTGTGTGTTAGGTCTACATTTACTATTGTCGATCTACTGTATATGACCCGTATAGATAGAATTTAATGCTCAATAAGACAGATTAAACAAGTTATAACATTTTCCAACAAAAAGTCTGATTTGAGTAATATTTATGAACCTTTTATAATACCTTCAATATTAACCAAGTAACTAAGATAGTTTATCAGGTAAACAGGTGACATTACGATTAGTCCCATTCAGCTGTTTGAAATATATAAAAATCTCTATTCGTTGACAAATTCGAGTTTTGTGTTTACTACTTGTGGTGTTAACATCTATATCTAATGTAACCTAACCTCTAGATTGACTCTGCAATAAATTCATGAAAACAAATAAAAAGTATATAAGTCCTGCCATACTTTCTTTCCTCTATATTGAAACTAACACACTTTTACAGCAGTGGAAGATTGGAAGATTTTATCTTAAATTCGGATTTTAAGCCTATCAATTAATATTTTATTATTAATATTTGTTTCAGATAGTTAAAAACAAAAAGTGGGGTAAACAAGCTATGGTCGATGTAATGAAAACTTTAAGAGAGAAAAGAGAGTACTACAAAATGTTTTTAATAACAATAACATTAAGCAATCGTGGGCTCTAAAGGCACGCCATGGCAGGCATTCCTATAACCTGGCCTGGGATTTTGTTGACAAAAGTGCATCAAACAGCTGGTTAGATCGGAGATGCCTCTTTGGGGAGACGGAAGGATTCATTATTGCCATACAGGATCAGGTCATAAATACTAAAAATCACACATACATCACACTACAGAAGGTCACTATATATAATACCTGTCATATTGTTAGGAAATTCCTGAATACAGACATACACATTTATTTTTGTCTTGTTTTGGTTGCTATGTCTTGACTCTGGTTCGGCATAATACACAGCAACCGGTGTCAACCAAGTATAGCCCACTAATCCCAACATAATAATGCTCTGTAGTAAGCAATTAAAACAAAGGCAACATGTAAAATGATCCTTTAGTAAATACTTTTTTTCTCTTTAATTTCCTATCTACATCGCAATAAAGCACAGGAAAATGAAATTTAGAACACAAAACTTCGAAAAACATATTTTTTAATGATTTTTCTTGCAATCTAAATATATATAACTCAAAGGTGACTGACTTAGTGATCTACCAACGCACAGCCCAAACCACTGGACGGATCGGGCTGAAATTTGGCATGCAGGTAGATGTTATGACGTAGGCATCCGCTAAGAAAGGATTTTGATCAATTCTACCCCCAAGGGGATAAAATAGGGGATGAAAGTTTGTATGAAACTTTGTCAATTTTAAACCGATCGGGCTGAGACTTTGCATGCATNGTCTGTTAGTATTTTGAGAAGCTAGATCTATAAGATGGATGCTGGGATTGTAGGTGTATGCGATCCTGAACGTCATAGTAGAATTTTTGAAGGACTGTAAGTTGTGCAGTCCATGAGCGGGTGAAATGTATGAAGGGTGAATTTTCCTTTGCTACTCATCACGAATTGCACCAACTATCGGCTTGTCATGCGTCTTCCAAAAATCAGTAGCAAGTCTTAATTTTACGATGGCCTCTGTTGCAATCCATTTATAATAAAGTAGTGAAGTAATTATTTTCATGAATATTGACATTGAAATTTGCAATTAAAAATAAAATTATAAAATATACTGTTTATTCAATTTATATTTTCTTGATTATAATAAGTTTTATAATAAAATTGATATATACAGTATACTGTATATTTATAATTTCAATATCTTAATACACTCTTTTTGTAAAATATATTTTTGAATTTTTCCACTTTCTGTTTTTGGATATTCTTCAAAGAATAATACATATCTTGGTATTTTAAAATAACTAATCTGAAAAATAGAAAAATATATTTAATACATTTTAGTCTTTTAATAAAATAATTCAAATATTTAATTAATTTAATGAATAAATGAGTTTCTCTCTTAGCGAAAACTAGAAGGAGGATTTAGAAGATGATAGTAGGGAGATTTAATCGAGTCCCTTCATGTACAGTACAAGGTGAATCAATCCTATTCATCACTTGCAGACAGAAACAGTGAACGAAACTTAATTAAATTTGATTTCCACACGTTTTAGACTATGAAAGAATAGTTCCAAAAATCACCGCTAGGAATGTTATGTGGCGCTACAGATAACTAGAGAGGCAGTAGTGAAAACATTTCCTTTGACAGCTTGAAGCCAATCAAGATCATCCTCAGAGCGTTCAGCCATATTGTACGGGAAAAGAAGTTTTACCAACTAAAGGAAAAATGTCCCAAATATAGTTCTCCTTATCTTTTTCATATTTAAATATAATTTGGTGTTTTAGCCAAATAAAAATATGTTTTATACTAGTACTTATGAAACTGTGTCGGTAATTGTTGTGGAACTCGAACACCAACTACAAAGTATATTCACTCAAAAGCAAGGCAAATCTTATCATTAATTTTTATTTACTTGATACGTGTACTTAATGTTTGTACACGTTTCGAGCTATTCTTGCCCCTCCTCAGTCAACTAAAACACAAATGTATACTGGTTACAAATTACAATATATAAATAAAAGGTTATGCTGTATAAAACATACCTTCAAATCAGAGATCTTTGTAAATTTAAAACCGTTTTTAAAAACACTTCTATACATTCGACGTATCAATTAAATAAAAATTAATGATGAGATTTGCCTCGTGTTCGAGTGAATATACTTTGTAGTTGGTGTTCGAGTTCCACAACAATTACCGACACGGTTTCATAAGTACTAGTATAAAACATATTTTTATTTGGCTAAAACACCAAATTATATTTAAATATGAAAAAGATAAGGAGAACTATATTTGGGACATTTTTCCTTTAGTTGGTAAAACTTCTTTTCCCGTACAATATGGCTGAACGCTCTGAGGATGATCTTGATTGGCTTCAAGCTGTCAAAGGAAATGTTTTCACTACTGCCTCTCTAGTTATCTGTAGCGCCACATAACATTCCTAGCGGTGATTTTTGGAACTATTCTTTCATAGTCTAAAACGTGTGGAAATCAAATTTAATTAAGTTTCGTTCACTGTTTCTGTCTGCAAGTGATGAATAGGATTGATTCACCTTGTACTGTACATGAAGGGACTCGATTAAATCTCCCTACTATCATCTTCTAAATCCTCCTTCTAGTTTTCGCTAAGAGAGAAACTCATTTATTCATTAAATTAATTAAATATTTGAATTATTTTATTAAAAGACTAAAATGTATTAAATATATTTTTCTATTTTTCAGATTAGTTATTTTAAAATACCAAGATATGTATTATTCTTTGAAGAATATCCAAAAACAGAAAGTGGAAAAATTCAAAAATATATTTTACAAAAAGAGTGTATTAAGATATTGAAATTATAAATATACAGTATACTGTATATATCAATTGTATTATAAAACTTATTATAATCAAGAAAATATAAATTGAATAAACAGTATATTTTATAATTTTATTTTTAATTGCAAATTTCAATGTCAATATTCATGAAAATAATTACTTCACTACTTTATTATAAATGGATTGCAACAGAGGCCATCGTAAAATTAAGACTTGCTACTGATTTTTGGAAGACGCATGACAAGCCGATAGTTGGTGCAATTCGTGATGAGTAGCAAAGGAAAATTCACCCTTCATACATTTCACCCGCTCATGGACTGCACAACTTACAGTCCTTCAAAAATTCTACTATGACGTTCAGGATCGCATACACCTACAATCCCAGCATCCATCTTATAGATCTAGCTTCTCAAAATACTAACAGATATGAAAAAACAACACAGTTTACGCTGTCACATCTCATGTTCATGGATGACATAAAAATTTATGCATCACAAAAACAACTTTATCAACTCCTACAAATCACACATTCAAACACACCAAGGACATACAAATGGAGTTTGGTTTAGACAAATGCAAAACAACACTTCACATAGAAAAAGGAATCCTGAAGAAAGATTTTGGACTTGGAAATGGAGACGTTATTGAATCCATGGAATAGGGCGAGTTCTATAAGTATTTAGGATTCCAACACAGAACAAATAAAACAAAGATTAATTAAAAAATACCAAAGTAGGTTAAACGCTATTCTCAGAATACAGTTAAATGCAAAACATATGTCGTCCCAGTACTCACTTATTCTTTTGGAGTTATACAGGGTGTCCACCATGAACCTGACACATTTGTTTCGACTGCCATATCGAAGTGCAAGACAGGAATCAGATGTTGTGCATTCCATTAGGCGGAAAAACTGTGGAAGCTGTATAGGTAATTTTGAAAACCTGCCAAAGTAACTGTAGGTGGCGTGGCAGTAGTCAAACGCAAAATGGATTTTCCACAGGAACGGGCGCAAGCTGTGTGGTGGTACTCTAAAAAAAATTCAAGTGCAACAGAACTTTCGTCGCGTGTTTGGCAAGGTGCCACCCTCGAGGAACACACTCAAGTTATGGAAACAACACTTCTTGACGAAGAGAACTGTGTTAAAATTACACGGCGGTAGCATTCCAGGCACAGTTTTCCGATTGTTGGATTGGACTTAGACTTTTTCTTTTGGAGATTTGTCAATGACAAGGTTTACACCGGTGTCAAAATTTGTGACCTTCAACATCTTCGTGTGCTCATTCACGATGCTGTTGCTGCTGTCACGCCTGAGATGCTTCAAAGAATCTGGCAGGAAATGGAGTATAGACTCGATGTTCCACGTGCAACAAAAGGAGCTCATGTAGAGGTTCACTGATTTTTTTAAATAAAACTTTTTGAGTTTTCTTCATAAAATGCGCATTACTTTACATCCTTCCTGAGCGATAGATTTTTTACAACAGTTTCAAACGTGTCAAGTTCATGGTGGACACCCTGTACATTGGACTCACAAAGATCTCGAGCAACTCCAAATGAAAACAAGAACAACACTTACTCAGCATAAACATCAGCAACCTAAATCTTTCATAGAAAGATGAATCCTTTCACGTCCACGTCAGTAGCCACGTCCATGTAAAGATGGTGGACGTGGCTGATAAAGATGGTGGACGTGGCCTGATTGACATAGTAAACCTTCACTACAAACAAATAAAGACACTGCGAGAGTTTTTCTACAAAAAACAAGAAACATCACAGTTACATAGAGCAGTAACTCTAGCAGACTCAAATAACACGCCATTAAATTTACACTGACAACATATGAACACGACACGACATATAAAAAGCCTAGACACCAGTGGCGTGCCGTGACATTTGATGAATGGGAAGCTGTGTTTCTGTAAGAAGCCGACTTCCAGGGGCAATCAGTTAATTCTTTAAATGTATTTTTAATAGATTATTTATCTGACGTAATTAATAAATAAACAAGTTCAATATAATTACCTCTGTTATTAGATTCAATAGATTCCCTATGCCTGCTAAATGCCTATTTTTGCTTTGATAAAAACATATAATATTTATTAATTTAAATATATGTACGCCGTAACTATCTCGTTATAATTTTCAATATTTATTTTATATTATTTACTAATGTTAAATTCTATTCCGCTTCGATTTTCAAATTGCTTCAAATACGAAAAAATAGACGATTTTTCGTGTCTTTTGCCAGCTAAATTGTCAAAGCCATTCTTATTCCACACACTAATTTCATTTGAAAATAGTAGGCAAGCCAACAAAACAATTTTTGCATTTTTATGCATTTACAGAGCCATTTTATCGTGAAAATGTCGAACAAAGATTTTATTGAAGCGTTTATATTTAACTTAGGCCTTTCTCTTTTAATAATGTTTTCTTTTTCATTATATGATCCCGAGCCAAAACTTTTTTAAAATAAATTTTCAATATCGCAATTACATTCCGAATCGCTAGCCACGATATAAAGGTTAAAATTAAAAATAAAATTATAAAAACTTACTGGTGAAATAAAATGTGTGGTGGATATGCATACCTGGTACAAAATATTCTTCAATTGTATGAATATACTTTTAAGGAAAATTATAATTAAATATAGCTTTGTAAAGAAACGTACATAAAAATATAAAATATTCTTTACTTTTTAAATCTTAAAACAATGCACTTAGTCAAATAGTGGCTAACGGATAGAATCGAAGACGGTTGCAGAGCGTGCATACACGCGGGCTGCCAAATCACGAGGTTGCCGATACCGGTTAATGTCAAATGCCTCTTTTGTCGCATCATTAGTATATCTGAAAGGACGCAACAGGGTTGTAAATTTTAAACGTTTCTCACTATAGCTGTAAAAATCTAAATATGTTAAACTTAATTGTCATTTGTTTTCTAACTGATTCATTTTAGGACCAGGTGTCCATGGAAATTTCCAAAATTTACAACTTTTCGGTCACTCTTTTTGAACTGGAAAATTTTCTGTCTTTATTACATGTAATATTACGAAGAAATCATTCCCCACTGTACTCGGCTAGAGATTGGTTCGGTTAAGCTTTTAAGTAATATTCCGGCTCTTTCGGTAGGGTTTTATTTATGGCCCTAATTCACTAATCGCTTAATTATTTAACTACTTCTTAAGTAGAAATAAGTCGAAAATGGTTACTTTGTACTCGAATATTTGTAGTCTCGGGAAAAAAGTGAAAAGACAAATTTTTATGACAACAGATACATAAATCGTAAATTTAAGGAAAATAAATTCTAGAGATTTTTGTGTACTTCGTGCATATCTCTCATTCATTAAATTTAGTTGTAAATGACGCTAACAGTTAATTTTTTAACATTGTACAAGAATTGTACACGTTTTTTTCTACATCCCCTTAATCTCCTTAAAGATGGGACATACGAAATCGCAATATCACTGGTTTAACATTGAAATCCGTAAGTAATATAAGATGGGAGAGCGGAATAAAAATATGAAATATTTTAATGGATTTTTTAAACTTCTGTCAACTATACAGAACTATCATAAAAACATAACCCAAACGATAAGAATTTACTGGTACGTTATAAATCTACTCCTGATTCACGTAATCAGACGAGGGTAGCCAAATATCTAGCAGGCAGGCGGCTAACAGCCCAGAACCGGTCCTGGATAGAATTGGATGCGGTATACGTGTAGATCCACCCGAGGTCCTAGGCTTCCACCGGCTAAACCGGGTGAGGTTGGTGCTCTGTAAAGCGCGTGCGCGAATCTGGCTTTTTGGATGCTGACGATACAGCGCTTCCACTCCGCCACTAATATTCGAATATACAATAGGAATCTTATTTTTTTTTCACGTGTCGTATAGAAATTTGTAATAATATATATAATGCGGTTATAATAAAATATTGTGCGATTATTTTCATATAATTAAAATTAATATGTATTTACTTTTTTAGAAAATACAAGGGAAGCGACGCATCTAACGCTTCCAACGACGGCACGCCACTGCTAGACACCATTAAGCAATCGTGGGTTCAAAAGGCACTCACTCCATGGCATCAAGTCGTAGGCATCCCGACGACTTGGTCCAGGACTTTGTTAAGAAAACTTTGTCTAATAGCTGGTTAGCTCGGGGATGCCTCTTTGGGAAGAGGGAACGGTTCATGATAGCCATACAGGATCAGTTCATAAATATTAAAAACCACAGAAAACACATACTCAAAGATACAACACTCACAAATGACACATGCAGAAAATGTGACATCATGCCAGAAATTATATAAGATATGGTTGCAAGCTCTTGGCACGGATAGATTATCCACATAGACATAATCAAGTAGCAAATACATCAACAGCTTGCAAACAAACACAAATTACTAGACATCCACGAACCATACTACAAATACATCCCACAGACAGTATTGGAAAACAGCACGCACAAAATATACTACAACAGAGCCATAATCACAGATAAAACAATTCACCACAACAGACCAGACATCACACTCATTGACAAATATAATAAAATCACATACATTATAGTCATATCATTCCAAACACTCACAATATACAAAAAACATTCACTGAAAAAATCAGCAAGTACACAAAACTCGCTCAGGAAATAAGGCATCTGTGGAGGATTGAAAGGGTGCTTAATGTACCTGTCGTTCTCTCCTGTACAGGTGTGATACCACACACACTACACAAAAGCCTGGGAACATTACAGTTGAATAGAAACACATACATCACACTACAGAAGGCCACTATATTGAATACCTGTCATATATTTAGGAAATTCCTGAATACAGACATTGACACATTTATTTAATTTTTGTCTTGTTTTGGTTACTATGCCTTAATAGTACCGGTGGCTGGCATAGTACGCAGCCACCGGTGTCAACCGTGTATAACTCCCTAAACCCACCTAATAATAATAGTTATAATAATAATCAAGGAAAACAGGGATTTTCCGAAAGTTGTAGGCTTATTTTTGCTCATCACTTTTTCAAGTTTGTGTGTTTTCCACAGTTTGTTCTGAATTTGTTATTCAGAAAATTGACAACACACATTTGAACTTATATTTTACATTTTTGGATTCATGAAGAGTCAAACCGTCCAAAGGGAGTCAAAATTTGACCGACCACCATTTTATGACAGAGAAGAAAAATGCTCTGTAAATTCAGAACGTTGTTGTATTTGTACACTAGACTTATAATTGATAAAGCAAAGAATTGTTTTAACATATTCTAACATCAGATTATAGTTTAAACTTTGATATTTAAACTATAATCTGGAAATAATTGTGCTGATTAATGTGAAAAAAAATCATGTGGTTTCACCGATAAGATTTCTAACAACTAAGTTTTCTCCGTTGTTATTGATTAAATGGATCAAAAAATCACTGTGTGAACTAACTTTTTCATTATTATCTTCTTCTTTGATACGTTTCGTATTCAAATTTCTATATTAAAAAATTAGTCAACTTGTAAAATAGATAATGTGGCATTGCTCCAGACAAATTCTAAAATTAAAATATAATGTAAGAAATCATAATTATTTCAGGTAAGCTAGTAAATAAGAAATAATTTTCAAGATAATACTACTAATAGGAAATATCAATAATAAGGCAATTCAATTACATTGCTATAAAATGAGTATATATATAAATTAAGAAAGAAAATATTTTTTTAAGTTTTTAAATTTAATAGTTTCTCATATTTATTACAAGATAAAGCATAAACATGTGACGGGTTTGGTTTGGTTTATTCTTATACGGTAATGCGACACATGGACAATCTGCCGAGAGGAAATGTCTTCCGTGAGGTCTTTTAGGGGAAACTGAGCCCTGTTTAACCCATCAGTGATAAAGCGGATAATACCACTGAAGTCCGTGTGTTCGCGTCTTACAACGGGCTGACCACGTGGTGTTTTTCAGGATTTTTCACTTTTCTAAAACTTAAATAGGCACAGAACTTTTTCCCGGAAGCATTTGAAACAATTTATAGAATTTTATAGAATACAGTCAAATCTTGGGTTTCGAACGCCTCGCTTTTCGAATGATTCGATTTACGAACAATTTTTTGAACTCAGTTTTGCCCCAGTTGCCGTAGGATAACTCGATTGCCGAACAAGCTACTCGGCAGAGCCTGCCATTCTATGTTAAAGAAACTTCCTATGTTAAAGAAAGTCGACGGCTCGACCAATCAACGACAACACTACCCAGAAGTTAGGGGCCAGAGATCGTCTCGCGTCACGATACATTTCATCGATGATGTTGCCATTTAAATTGTATTTCATCGTGCATGCGGGAAAGATACTATTTTCGTTTTTCGGTATACCCATAATGAAATTTAAGTCGAATTAATGAATAAAACCGCGTTAATTTACATTGTTTTACATTTTTATATTGTTTCTTATGGGAAAATTTGTTTCGGTTTTAGAACAAATCCATTTTCGAACAACTTTTAGTAACGAATTAAGTTCGAAACCCGAAGTTTGACTGTATATTTTAACAAGATAAATTTTGTCTTAGCAAAATTTTAAAACTAGATTAGATAAATTTACTTGTAAATAATAAATAAAAAAATCAATAGAATTCGATAAATACCTAATGTTATAGTGGACTTCATATCTAAATTTATCAATTAAATATTATTTTCATAAAAATAAATTTTAACTGTAAACTTACGAATAACGTCACAAAAATGACTAAACTGAAGTGCTACGTCGAAGGAAAATCAGCAAAATTACATAGAATTTAATTATTTGGTAACAATAAAAGCTGTCAAATTAAATTAATCAGCCCATTAAATGCTCAATTTTGCCTAACTGTTTTTGGTATACTTTTCGTATGCCCACCATTGGCAGAATGAAAACTAGTCGTGGGTCCAACAGGTTATATGGAGCATTCACTTGTCTAATATCTTCATAGGGACCCATAGAAAGTTCTATCGGGAGGCTCTCTTCTTGGGAGATCGTCTATGTATTGCGTTGCAATAGCTCATCAAACCAAGCTATAATTTCGCGGATTATCTAGATACCCCACTTTGAGGCCTGGATAAAGCCCACCTATTATCCGTATAACAAAAGACGTAAAAAATTTCTTTTTCAAATTTTATTCAATACTATAGCGTATACAGCATATAATAAGTAGGCGTTTTTAAATAGAGTGTAGCTGTCATTATTATGTTGGGTTTAGTGGGTTATACTCGGTTGATACCGGTGGCTGTGTACTATGCCGGACCAGAGTCAAGGCATAGCAACCAAAAACTAAAATTAAATAAGTGTGTCAATGTATGTGTCTGTATTCAGGAATTTCCTAACAATTGGCATGTATTCAGTATAATGGCCTTCTGTAGTGTGATACAGTCAACCCCCCTATAAGATAGAGATACGTTCCATTCTCTAGGAATCCGATTTCTTACGAATCCTTCCAATCACAACCCGACACGTATCAAGTTTACGGACTACGGCTGTTTGAAAGGTTTTCTTCCATAAAATTAATCTATTCTAGACTAATCCGACTCAACATTTCCAAAACACGTATATATTTTTTGGAAATAATCCGTATAAACTACGCTATAAATAAAAAATTGTAGAATTACTTACCGAGTGTCACCATTCGACATCGCCATTGCTCAACATTGTTTTCGTCGCGGAACAGCTCAGCAAAGAGCGGCCGATTTCTAACAACTTATTTTTCTGTGAAAACTTCGTAGAACTTCGGAGACATCATTAATATAAATAATTTTAATCGCCGTTGAATAAGAAATGTTTCTTTCACAAGAAATGTATAAAATTACAGTACTGTATTAGACTTACGGTACCTAATTTACATACTGACAGACGATAGTTAGCGTAAAAATCTCCGTAGCGTGGCGCCACGCTAGACGGCGGAAATTATATATTTAATTATAACAAAGTTACAATAAGTTAATATATAATTATATATACAGTACCTAATTTATATATAATTAATATATAATTATATGTACAGTACCTAATTTATATATAATTTATATAATACTGTCCAGACGATAGAAATCTCTCCGTAGCGTGGCGCTACGGACGGCGGGAAAGTAGTTCGGCTGCCCGATGACGTTTGAGGTGTTTATAGGGAACTTTTACTATTTTTTACGGATACCGGTAGCAATTTTTTCGTAGTTTTATAGGAATCGTAATTATAGGGGAGTCGACTGTATATGTATTTCTATTCAATTGTAGTTTCCAAGCTTCTGTGTAGTGTGTGTGGTATCACATCTGTACAGGAGAGAACGACAGGTACAATAAGCACACTTTCCATCCTTCACAAATGCCTTATTTCTTGGGCGAGTTCTGTGTACTTGCTAATTTTTTCAATGAATGTGTTTTGTATATTGTGAGTGTTTGGAATGGCTATGTCTATAATGTATGTAATTTTATTGTGTTTGTCAATGAGTGTGATGTCTGGTCTGTTTTGGTAAATTGTTTTATCTGTAATTATGGCTCTGTCATAGTACATTTTGTGTGTGTTGTTTTCCAATACTGTCTGTGGAATGTATTTGTAGTATGGTTCGTGGATATCTAATAATTTGTGTTTGTTTGCAAGCTGTTGATGTATATGCTACTTGATTATGTCTATGTAAATAATCTATCTGTGCCAAGAACTTGCACCCAGAAGTAATGTGTTGTATAGTTTCTGGCATGATGTGACATTTTCTGCATGTATTATTATTATTATTATATTAAATTCTAAATAGACAAATGAAGCGATACTGTTATCAGTTTCAGCTTTTTTAAAGTGAATCGCTTTCATTTGACCCTAACACATATTTTTTCTAGTGTTTCTTCACGTAAACAAACTGAACACAATACTATCGAACAGAGATATCCTTGATAAATTATTATACAATGATAAGAATCTATTTATGAATCTCTGAGATAATTAGCTTCCTTTGTATATCAAATTTAAACTATAAAGTAGTTATTTGTTAATGTGACTGAAAACAATTTTTAAAAACCCAGCAACAATTTTAACTTTGCCCGGCAATAAAGTTAAAATTGTATGTAGCACTATCTGTTATGGGATTTTATTTTTAAAACTTTTCATATTATTAATTACAGTATTATAAAATGGCAAAATGTTTATTTTTGAGGAGAGTAATGAATTTTATAAATAAATAAGTAAATGCTAATAAAGAGTAAAATCTTTATTATGTTTGATCCTACTCGAGATTTGAACAATTAACTCCCTCTATCTCCTCACTCCCTAGACCTTTAATTACCAAAATTTAACATAAAAAACCCTAACATTCAAACCTTCCAGTAAAATTTCTGAAATTTTTGACAAAGGCACAGAAGTTATTAAGCTTCAAATCGGGTGAACAAAACCGTATCACATATATACACACACGCTAACATCCATACATCCATACACACAGAAAAAAAACTTTTTGCGTTTCTCGGTATGAGTATAAAATATAAAAATCTTGAGATGTGTATTTTTTTTACATTCCCTCTGTTATATATAACAGATTATCAGATAAAAATAATGCATGACATAAATACAATCTGAAAATCTTGCATGCGAATTGCGAATTTTAAGGATGTTTTTCAAAATTTCTCTTCTGCAAACAAAATTTATTAATGTTTAAAGAAAAAAAGTTAAACTGTAATAATAAAAGAAAACATTAATTAAAAAGTAATGATAAATAAGGTATTTTAATTTTTCATTATACAAATTAAAAGATAAACAAAGATAAGTAAGTTTAATCAAAGGTCATCCGGTGTAATATGAACAATAGATTAATTTGTGATATTAATGATAATTATCATATCATATCTTTTATTTGTGTTTAAAACGTCTTCAACACTGATAATAATGTCCTAATTAGACACAACTAATGCATCTATAATATTAAGTTTCTATCACATGATAACTGATAACGTACTGACCAAGAATTCTACCTAGAACTAGAAGATTTGGTTAAGTGTTAAATACCTCGATCTGACTGCTGAGTTATTTCGATAACAAATACGAAGATGTTGAAAATATTACATGGTACCAACTCGCTTAATGAGAACATTCAAGTTCTTGACACATGACACTCAAAACGCATTCGTATTACTACTCACAAAACTTAAGAGCATAAAAGGTGCAATGAGCACAGTTTATAGAGCAGTGTTTAGTTAGATGCTTAAATAAAAACAATATTTATGAAAATTTTAATTTTACAAAATTTCACTTTGTAACTTACAAATTTCACTTTTAAAATTAAATTTTAAACATTTCACGTATTGTTTACAAAGAAAACATCTCTGTGCAAGATTGCAGTAGATGTTTGCTTTACAACTCCACGCTTTCAGAATTGTATAATTTTTAAATTAAAATTATAATTAAATATTGTATTTTATGTTGTTTCCAAACCTTCGTCATTTCGTAAAATATTTCTTTTACAATTCATAACTATGGTTAAATAAGAAAGTTACTAGCAATAGAAGTGAATTATTAAACATCAGCAAAAATATCCAAATCAAAACTATAGGAAAATAATGCAGATAGAATATACAACTAAACTAAAATTGAAGATCTAACGTAGTTCGGATATGTCAAAAGAATACGAAAGAAGAAAATACAATAATACAAAACTTTATTATGGTATTTTCCTCCTTTTCGTGAAGAGAATATTATACAAAAAGTTTTAGAATAAATGTAATAGAAAATAAAAAAGGAAGACCTAAATATTCATACCATTGGGGTCCCAAGCAACAGAAAATTTGTGACTTCTAGCCTATTCTGCAAATATAAATGAAACTAATGAACGATATTTGTCCATTGACCAATGCAACTTCGTCCTATGCTGACCAAAACCTCATTCCTTCTTTTCTAGGCCAAGTTAGCCCCTAGTGCAGCGTTTCCCAAAGTGGGCAATAACGCCCCCTTGTGGGCGATGAGTAAATCTAGGGGGCGCTGGAGGCAAGGTGACCAAAGGTAAAATTGGTGTCACTGAAAGTCGTTCCCTTTCCTCTGTTAAATTGATAAGCGGAAACATTGCGTTTAATGGTTTCCAGATGTTGAGAACAATGTACGATAAGGGCACAAAGTGAGATTCATAAAAAAGTTTTCCTAAGAATATTTCCAATGCTTCTCACACAAGAGAAAATGGGTTAGGGGGCGTTGAGTATAACTTTATGGAACAAAGGGGGCGGTGAATCGAAAAAGTTTGGGAATCACTGCTCTAGTGCAACAAGCATCACCTTGTGGAAGCGCTGATTCGACGTTGAATCATACAGTTTAAAGTTCCTTGCGTATTGTACAATGCCCTTTTTTAAATCTTGTGGAAATCCCCGTTTTTATAATCTGCGACTAAAAGCCGCTAGTTGGCAGACTAAATTAAATGTATTGGATTAATATATAAGGAAATGCAGCACACGAGCAACTGTCAAAGGAAAATGTCTCCTGGAAAAATTTTCAATGGGAAACCGACCTTTATTTAGTCATTAGACACACAAAAAAAACCTCGAAAACTCTATGTGGTCAGCGCGCTTCATTGCGGGCTGATCACGTGCACTTTTTGCCACGACTAGTGTTCAGTGATTTTAACTACTTGGCCACACTTAAATAATTAGAAACAAAATAAAAAGTGTATGGCTGTCATTTGATTTTATGATAGCCATACACTTTATATTTTGTTCCATGGTTATCTTTCACCCAAATCAGGGTGAAAGATAATCATGTTAACAGAAAAAATAAACTAGCAAAAGTTGTTGACAAAAATAAACAGACTACCATAAAATAACAAAAAAGAATTCTATATAGAAGTCAATATAAATTTCTTTGTTATTTGAATGACAAAAAAAAAAAATTGAAGAAACTTTGGAAGAAGTGTTAGTGCTCGACGGCGTGTTACTGAATATACTGGTGTTTTCTTCATAAAACTCACTGACATTACAAAAATAATTAGAGACATTATCTTCAGAAAGAAATTTATCCCTGTTGACAATTAGGCATAACCTTGTCTAATCCTTTTCAAAAGAAACAAATTTTTCTATTTTGAAAGCTCTTGTTAGAAAAAAGGAAATGATTCTCTTTTCAGACAGTGATTCTGAATCAAGTGAAAAAGTCACTGACTGACTGTATATACAGGAATCAGATGTTCCGATATTCGGGGGTCAATTTCTTCGCTTTTTAAATGCCTATAGTCAGTCAGAATATCTTGTTCAAAAGATTGTTCATTTTTTTAGGTACAGTGCAAAATTTCAGATTTTTCTATAAAGAGATTGCAGAAATATAAACAATCGACGAGTGCAGAAATCGCCGTAATAGCTGTATTTTCTTCTTTTCTTCATCCGGCATTGCAAACGCTCCCAGAGAAAAAACTAATTGGTCTACAAAGCTCAAATTTTAAACTTAATCCTTCCTCTTTATCAATGAGGTGATAGCGAAACTTCCGGGTTGATAGGTTCAGATTATCGCTTAATCTGAATTCGAACCTTACGTGACTGTAAAGATATTCATGACTCATCTAGTTTAGATCATCATTTACTGTTGATTACTCATTGCATATTTTATTACTGTAGCGCAAACCGGATATCTATTTCCAGACTTCAGTGTATTTATTCACTTGCACGCTTATTAGACTCATAGGAATCATCAGATGTTTTAAGTATATTAATTTTGATAAAGAATTAACCAGTAACGAAAATTTGCAAAATTTATATATGATTATATAACTTGTATAACTATTCTATAAAAGCATAAATTTTGAAGTGTATACATTCTTAGCACTTATAAGATACAAGAGTCACTTAAAACAGTGTAATTATAAAATATAAACTAATTAGAGGATGTTCGGGTATTATGGAATACTATTATTCTTTGGTATCAGAGTTTCGCTAATTCTTTTTAAATTAAACTAAAATATAAACAAGTACTGTATTGTACCTACAGTAATTAGTTGGCATTATTTATCCATAACTTTAATTATAAACATAATCATATTTTATAACATAATTATTCAGGTATTGAAAAGTTCACAATGGACAGTAATATGAAATAGTCGCGTAATATAAGATGCAATCAACGTCATTGTCGTTAAATATCATATTAGGCAAGAAGTGAAGTTCTGATAATTGGTATGAATGAAAAGAGTCATTCTCACTGCGTGACTCTTGTTGGAAAAATTGTTTAGGATATTTGGCAGCATTTTTTACCTTCTCAATGTTCTTTACGCTTAATATTTATTATATACCTAGAAAATAAATTATTTTAAAATTTCAAACCAAAAATCATTAGTTGAGCTTTTTAAATTGGGAAAATCATTTCGCTAATAGGGAATATTTTGATTTCTTGGCTTCACGAAATACAGCAATTCCATATTGCCCGATATGCTATCTTGGAAATGAAAACATAGCAACATTACTTTTAAGGATTACAAAATTAAAACAGCTATCAAAAGTATGACTTTAACTACTAAATTTTGTATTAATGAACGAACCAGTATTTTATTATATTTCTATAAATTATTACAAATGTTTTATGGTTCTATGCAAACGAGATAAATAAGTATTTCGTTAAACCAACTATTCCATAACACCCGAAGTTCCTCTTTATGTAGGTCTATTCATTAATGATTACCAATAAATAGAAATGCATTTCTGTTATGTGTCTTTAATGTAATAGAAAATTCCATTATAAAAATCTTAATGAAAATTTTAAATGTTTAACTATAGTATAACCTTTGAATAGAGTACACCGTCGGGACCGAGACGTTTGTCCGCTATTCAGAGATAAATATAATGCATATCTTATTTGAAGGGTCTGAGGATTTTAAAAATGTCCGTTAAATACAGATGTCCGCAATTTCCGGGTATCCCTTACGCCAGGAACACACATGCGTAAAATTGTGTGACAGAAAACTGAATCAGAAATCAGCTTTCAGTTTAGTTTCTGTTTTAGGCTTTTATGCCAAAACATACATACGTAAAAATTCTGACCGAATAGGAAACGGCACTGCCACTAACAGTGCTACATTTTATTAATTTTTTTCTCTCATATATCTATTCCTTTGTACCTTTCATTTTTTCTTCACTTTCTCTGCTATAATATAGAAAATTTAAATTAATAGACTTGTATTCCGAATTCAAATAAAGAACATGTGATCTAAGTATTAGGCTTATATATCGATTCTACTAGACCTACCTGTTTTTTTGAAATTTAGCACCTAAAGCTATCCATAAACGTTGTTTAAATACAGTGTCTTTATACATGATACTGATGTGGTCAGATTCGATAAACTCCTCTATTTCATTTATTTTTCTCTTTTTCGAGACCGTCACAATTGCAGGGTTAACCCTCATTGCCGCCATTGTTAGAATAAAAACCACGTGTCTACTTTGACGTCACAAAAAAAGACCTTTTTATTGGAGGAATTTTTTCTGCCGCCTTTAACCGGTAAGTCTCTCTAAGTTCACCGGCCAACCAATTTCCCCCTCTGTCCGAGGCACACTACGTCTCCTAGGACAGAGTTTTTTGGCCTTCTGGCACCTTTCCATCTTACCACTTATCACACTACACTCTCCGGTTGGCCTAACCACTGTACACATTCCATTATGTCTNTTAATTTTGATAAAGAATTAACCAGTAACGAAAATTTGCAAAATTTATATATGATTATATAACTTGTATAACTAATATACTTAACTTTTAAAATCTATTTTCTAATTAATTGAAACTGGAAATAAATATTAATCAATATTAGTATTGATTCATTAAAATCTTTAAACATTTAAGTAACAAATCAATGAAGATATTAATTGTTTATAAGACGTTTGTACTTTTCAATTTAAATAATATAAAAATTTATGTTTCAGAAATTATTCTAGACAAATATCTGACCAAACGAGGGCAAGTTATTGGCACACTCGCGGAGATTTTACTTTTTCTAATACCACTCTCGGCGATGTAGTAGACACAGCGGCTGATAAATATGGAGACAGCGTGGCCATTTCTATACCATTTCAAAATATAAATAAGACATTTACACAGTTAAAACAGGAGGTAAGTATATTTCTAAAATACACTTTTTGTTTACTTTAATTTTAAAAAGTTAAAAATTTGTTTGATTTAGAATTAATAACGAAGCTATTTACATTCTGTTCGCGCGAGGAAGGCTCTTTAGAGAAATACGATGATATGAAGTGAGAAAAATTCATTTTTACAAATAGCGATGTTTAAGATATAACACAGACGGCTGGACTCTCCCGCCGTGGAGGTCCCGTGGATCGAATACGGACCAATCTAAAAACTCCAACAATTTTTCGTATGGTGGTTCGTCCAGATATATCTGACACTTCCCATTGTGTGCCTGGCCGAATCCACAAGAGGCTTACTAGAAAAAACGGCCCTTTTCAGTGGCCCGAAAGTGGAAAGAGTCAAAAATACAGAAAGATACAAAAACAGAATACAGTCTAATACTAAATAATTTTTGTACAGAATAATTACTAATATTCTTATTTATTCAACTTTTAACTTTGAATCGGCAACAAAATACTTCTAAAACAGTAGAGGAAAAGGTGGTATTATGGAACCCTGCAGATATTGTGGAACCCCTCCATTTCAAACTGATAATAAAGGTGAACTGTAGCGGATTGTGGCTGAACTGCACTAGGCAGACATCCATAGCAAAGGAAAACCCCGTTTCACTTCAGTTAAACGGTTGTCCGTAGTGAATTAGCATATTTGTGTTTTTCGAAATTCGAAAGTTTTGAATGGTAAGTGAATTTATTTCTAAAATATAAATCGTGTAGTTGTAGGTTCACTGGTGCATGTATTCTGTTCCAGAGACTTAGGGGTACATATTGTTCTGTGTGATGTTCACATATTTTAAAGTTTGGTCTTGACAGACGTAAGTTAATTCAAGATGGCGATGCGTGAAATACGGACCCCATTGGTGCTTTTAATATGGAACCCAACTCCTCCGAACACTTTCTTTGCAAGCAGACATTCGTCCGGAGCAATTTGTGAAAAAAAACACTAGGTAGAAAGCCAATTCTTCCTGAGAATATCAAAAAAGAGTTGCTGGAATATATATTGTTGATGGAGGTCATATTTTTCTATTATAAAAGCATTTTTTCGATAAAATACATTGAAGTAAATAATTTTGTAATTATTTAACATTCTTTGTACTTTCCTATTTGTTTTTGGATACATTAAAGCATTTTTTGAAAACATACAGTAAGGTTTATATTACCACCCGGTTTTCCCTAAGCCTACTTTCTGACTTTTTGTACAAAAGCCTTCAAAAACCATACTTATAGTTACACTAGCGAAAAATCCAATTAGGAACATTTAGTTTAATAGTTACCAGTACTTTTCGCAGGCAGCCGGATGGCCGAGCGGTCAAGGTGGCAGCCTACCGCTCTGGGAGACACGGGCTCGAATCCGAACGGATAGAAAAATCCCCAGGAATATTTCAAGGGGTGGACCGTTCGGATATGTCAGGCCCCATTCCTCACCATCCGGCAGCTCCATTGTGGGTCTGGCCGTACCCATAATGGGCTTGCAAAAACAGGCCCTCTTAGTGCCTACAGGGCGGAAAGAGTTACTAGAAAGAGTACTTTTCGCACAATACATGTGGGTGTAGTTATGATACCTTGTTTACAATTCGCTATAATGTAATTGGGGTAATACCACCTTCTCCTCTAACCGTCGTATGATTGGTTTCAAACAGCAAAGTCACATGTAGCAAATACTGCTATTTATCATCGAACAACATCGATTCAGGAACATCAATATTCCTGTTATATAGCTGTTACTCGCGATTTTGCAAGCAAACCCCATTCAGTATTTCAACAATCATAGTAATTGTTATATAACACCTACCGATGAGAATTGCCGAGAATTAAACGAACTATTATGCATCAGATGCGGAGCGGATCATGAACCCAATGAATGCAATGCTGAGCGGAAGGACTGTGTCCGCTGCGGAGGAGCACACAAGGCGAATTCCCCCCAATGCGAAGCATACCAGCGCGAGGCTCGCGTACTCAAACTTTGCGTAACACGCAGGTGTTCATACCAAGAAGCAAAGAGATTGCCCGAATGTCAGAAAGTGACCTATGCCACAGTGACAGCTACACATAAGCCGACGAAACCCGAAGAAGCCTCCCGACGGCCAAATCGGGGAGGGGAGAAGCCTGTCCGGGGTCCCCCAGACTCGACAAACGACGTCCCGTCATTGACAAGCAGAATCGCTCTTTTAGAATCTACAGTAGAGGCGTTACGGGTGGAGATCCGCAATCTCAACAAAAAACTACAGTCCCGCCAGACAGTCCCAGAACAGGTAACCCAAACCCTAGAATGCGAGCAGAATATGGACATCACGCCAACAATGTCCACACCCAGTAAGCGGGCATCTAACCACGCGGAATCAACAGCCGCGGNACTGCCCAGGTAGACAGAGGTGTAGCCACTGTGCCAAAGGACACAGATTCGGCGAATGTAAGAAACTCGAGTATGCACCCTGCTGCATCAACTGCAAGGAGGCAAATAAGGACGTCCCTCCCAACGAAAGATATGCAACTGACCACAATGCCTTCAACCCTCACTGTCCGATTACTATCAGAATGAAGACTCAAACCATCAAACAAACAAATTATGGATTATAACCAGTTAACACAGCACACGAAGTCATCCTCTTCAACCAATTCAATCACTAACAGTCAAAACATAATGTCTACCCATGTCAGCAATAACAATAGCCTCTCCAATAACACCATATCTATTCTACAGATCAACCTGCAGCGAGGAAAGGCCCCATCCTCCTTGCTAATTAAGACCGCTGAGGAGTGGAAATCGGACATCATCGTTGCCCAAGAGCCTTATCTCTACAAAAATGAACTCTCCGGCTTTTCCAACTGGAAAACCCACCCACCCAGAGGTTCCATGGCTAACCTCAAGACTGCTATCCTAATAAGAAACAATCAACTCATAGTACAGTAGCGCATGCGTTTATTATTTTCCATCGGCCCTGTCGATATTTATAATTTTTTATGTAAAAAAAACAAAATTCCGACATCTCCCGCAAGGGGGCGGATAGATTCGAGCGACTTATTCCAACTACAGTGCAGTCATCGCTGCGTACCCGAACGGATAATTATCTATAATATATTTTAAGGTAGTAAGCGAGACGGGTACCGAGGCCGGCGACGCGGCGCACGTACGGCGAGCGCCGAAAGCCGCCGGATCGTCGCGAACGCTTTCCGCTTCGGCCCGTCTAAAGTCACTGCCCGACGTCGACGACGTTCGCGCGTTTCCACTCCCGAAGACGTCCGCCGCGCCTTCCTACATAGTCCCGAACCTACGGACGCACGCCCGGCCGCGACGCGACCGAAAATCGAACGTTTCGAGCGGTGCTTCGCTCTGCCCGAAACTCGGAAAGAAATGCCGGTCGGCCGAGGCCACAGCGATCCTTACCTACGGCGGCGAACCCGGCCCTCGCGATAACGCTCACCGAGGCTGCGTAGGAAGGGCGACCGCCGACAGCCGCTCCGCCTCGCGACGGCGTTTCGGTTTAGCGCCGCCGAAAGTCGCGGCCGGAAGCGGGCGACGTCCGCCTCCCGCGATACCCGCAGACGTCCGCTGCGCGTTCCTAAACAGTCGTCGCCCGACAGACGCACGCGCGCGGCGTCTATCGTCGAGAAGTGCGAGTGGTCGATCCGAAATTTCGCGCGGCACGCCTTCGGGCCGTCGCGAAGGACGCGGATTCGGACGCGCGCATTCAAACCGGACAATTCGTAATTTTTTAACATAAAAAATAACAATATATAGGAAAAAAATATAATATTAATTATCATATATTCGATAAATATTATTTTCTGTTATTCGACACACCAAATGAAATCTGATTAATAATAATCATGATTATTATTATGGTAGCGTATGCGTTTATTTTCCATCGGGGATGCCGATATGTATAATATTTATTTGAAAAAAAATTCTGAGTAAAAAACAAAATTCCGAGATCTCCCGGAAGGGGGCGCGTACCACTTACAGTCGATAACTCGACCGGTTACAGTCGGATTTAAAAATTTCGTATGCCATTAGTTTCGTCGGACAATTTTGCACCGGATTACGATTAAGATCTTTACGTATATTTACATACGTTCGATTTAACGACATCCGATTAACGAAAACGTACAATTATTCGTGTGCGGATCGCGACCGCAACGCTGCCTAAAGTAGCCTCCGCTGGCTACGCCAACGTAGCGTAAATCGTCGTGGAAATCGAAAAGTAATTTTGTATTATTTCGTTTTCATACGCGTATTCTGCTAAGCAAAACAAATTTTCCGCCATTTCCATCCCTCCTATTTAAATTAACATATACATAATCAAATATATTAATAAAAAAAACGATAACGTAAACGGCCACAAACATTTCGGGAAAGACCGTTTCCTATAACNTGCAACCAAAAATCGCATCTAAAATAGTACAGTAGAAGCCATTCTTCCGGTTAAGCTTAATCCTCTCCCTCTCCCCCCGCGGGAAATCAAACGAACTATTTTCAATTTGATCAATTTTCTGAAACGTTTACAATCGTTCTATAATCGAACCAATACGAAATAACAAATTCGAATTTAAAACGGTTCGAACATTTTTAAAATCGAAGTAGATAAAAATATTTATAACAATGTCTGAAATGTTATTAATTTAATACACCTAAGTACTCGATGAAGACTAAATCCTCTCTCTCTCCCGCCCGTGGGGAATTTCGAAAAATGCATTCTCATGGCATACCCTACTAAAACGCAGATAAAAACAAAAAATCGCATCTAAAATAGTACAGTAGAAACCGTTTTTCCGGTTAAGCCTTAATCCTCTCTCTCTCCCCCCGCGGAGGAATTTCGAAAAATCCCTTCTTAGTGTGCGTTTCCATGACGTACCCTAACTGTCTACCAAATTTCACCTCTTTAGGTTAAGCGGTTTGCTCTGGGCGATGATGAATGAGTGAGTGAATGAGTGAGTCATTTAGTCAGTCAGTCAGGACAAGCAATTTTATATATTTAGCAGGGCTGTGGAGTCGGAGTCGGAGTCGTAGAGTTTTGGTGTTTTAGCCGGAGTCGGATTCGTCAAAAAGTCCGCCGACTCCGACTTTTCTTTACTTACCAACTTGTTATGTATATAAAACGGAAAAGTATTGGAATCGTATCGAATTTGACCCTCCAAGTTTCTTTTTGCAAATTTAGCCGAACCCCTCAAAAAAGTCAATAAAAGGGGAAAAATTCGCACGCGCGTGTTAACGTCTAATTTGTTTAATTTCTTTATTTGCCGTTCTGAGATATTAAACAATATCTCAGAACGGGCAAAGTTTAAAAAACAAAATGTGGCACTGTAGCTTGCGTATAAAGTGGCATTAATACTATTAAATTTTGGTCCTTAATTAAAGGTCGACAGGGTGAAGATATAAAAGTGGTCATGTGTCATATCTCTTAATGAATATTTTACTCGTTATTAGCGTTCAAAATTTAAAAAATAAAATAAAACTCGTCTCTACCCTCAAAGTAAGCTTTTTGTCATTTTATAATAGTACTGTACAGTAAAATCCGTTAAGATGTCCTCGCCTAAGATGTTACAATGTAAATGGGGACACGATTTAGTTCAACCACTTTGACGCTTAATAACTAACTTCTGTGTTAAACCATATGACTCCGATTCTGACCACTCTGTCTACAAAAATTATTAGGCTTCAAACAGGGTGAACAAAATCATGCCTCCCACACAGTCTAACATCCACACATATAGAAAAGCCTCGAATCTTTTGCATATCTCGAAATTTCAAGGTATCCTGCGTCCAAAAAAATTTGGGAGGAGTCATTTTTTGACTCAGCGCTACACTTTTCCTCTGTTATATATAACAGCCGGAAAAGTAAAAATTATTGAATACATATTTATATATTACTTAGAGGAGTCTTTTAGCTTTGGAATGAAAAGTTTCTACGTTCTATCTTTATTAGAACTCTATTTATTGAATTTTTTATTCTGAAGTCACGTGATGACATCAGAATTTCCGGGTCTCTTTCGGCAACAAGTCCGCAACTGGTAGGAGTCGGAGTTGGAGTTGGTAGATTTTTACACGACTCCACAGCCCTGATATTTAGATAAATAAGTATGACGCCGGATGACCGAGGCGGGTAAGGCTCTTTGTGGGCGACTCGGTAGTGAGACTTAATTGATCCGGAATAAGCTGTAGGCCTACTTACTACAATAGTTTGCTTTACGGGTTAGAGCAATGCCAAGTGAAATTAAAAAGGACTTTTATAAAAAAATAATTGGCTCCTATTTAGGGGTTAGACGCGTGAAAAACGTAGAAAGCTTCATGTGTCCAGACCGTTGGTCAGACGCAAAGCCGCTACCTAGCACCACGCTACGCTTTTTTCCACTGGTCGCGGGTGTACTCCTTAAACAATAACAGACTAATATGTCTATCGATAGCTGTCATCAGATGTTTTCCTCACGCGGACAGGCTAATTGATCGCATTTCAAAATGTCACAATTAATTCATAGTTTAAAATTGAAAGATAAAAATAATATTGATATAGCCTATAGATGATTTACACGAACTACGCATATAATTGAAGTCTTGCTTAAGCGTAGGAAAGGTTCAAATGTAAATATTTCATATTGAGCAGTACTTTAAACAAAATTTCGTACGAATTTTATGACACTAATTTTATATTTTCAGGTCGATCAACTTGCTGCTGGTTTGATTGGATTAGGTTTGCAGAAAAACGATCGAATTGCAATTTGGTCTCCAAATAATTACGAATGGATCCTCTCGAAGTTTGCAGTTCTTAAAGCAGGATTGATTTTAGTAATTGGATATTTACATAATTAATCTTTGTATTTTGATTTTCTAAACTGTTTTCTCCCTGTGGGTAATAAGAAGGCCTTTCTACCCTATCAATCGTGGCACGGCCAAGCTCACAACAGTGAGGTGGGTTGGTGAAGGACAGAAGTTGACATATTCTGGTCAAACTATTTCATTCCGAAAAACTCTGGTCGACCCGCTCGAATTTGAATACGGGTCCCCAGAGCGGTAGGGCCGCAGGCTAACACCTCAAATAATAATATGATTGAAATTATAGCAAAATAATTATGATCATATAATTTCATATTATTAATTTGAATATTTACAATGATCTTTATAGGTGTGTCTAAATCCTGCATATAAAGTTGCTGAATTGCAGCATACTCTTAACAAAGTAAATATATTATTTTAAATATACAAACAAAATATTAAATTAATTATAATCAATTATAAAACAAGAAATAAAATATTTTCAGGTGCAATGTAAGGCTATTATCATGGCTAAAACTTTTAAATCAGTAAATTTATATGACGTAATTTGTGAAGCGGTGCCCGAGATCCCTAACTCCAATCCGTCTCAAATACATTCACAAAAGTAAGAAAAGTACTTTACTCTTGTTTTTTAAATAAAATGAAATGATGTCCATAAATTTGTCTTCCGTTTAAACTCACGAATTCGTGAAATCATTGTGCCAATTGTTTTTCTTTGTGTTTGTATGTTCAGTTAAGTTATGGCAACGCAACACTTGAGCGATCTGCCTAGGAGAATGCCTTCCGGGAGGTCTTTTTAAGGATATTCGGGCGTTACAGACGTGGAGAACACCTAGTAAATTCCACCTGGCCAGCCCGTCCTGGCGAGGTGCAAACAAAAACTTGACGAGATCCCAGTGTTCATAGAATGGGACAGCTTGGCCACTGGTGGACCGTTTTTCTTTCTGAATTAACTCTCTTTCAAATCATTAAGAAGCGATTGCAATTTTAGGGACGTCCAGAGGGGGAAAAAGTATATTGGGTATTTTCATCTACTTCGTTTAATGAATAAAATAATTTAATTTGCTTTAGGGCCGATAATATAATCTTCACTGTTACCTTCTGGAGACTGCAATTTTAACTCGACTTTTCTTTAAATTGCTCCCGTTGAAGAATTAATCACCAATGTTTTAAACTATGAATGAAGTTTTTATTTTTGTTCTTTTACTATGGATGAAGTTAATACTTTTTGTTCTTTTACGCAATAATCATCCTTAAACGATCAAAAAATCTCTTTAAAGTTTAAAATGTTTAATTCGCCACTCGATCGCGGGAAACAGTATCATATGAAACTGAATGCGCTGTTAGTTTCTGTACATAACTGCTTACAGTTTATAACATTATTTTCCTGTTTATTGATAACGTAATTTATTCTTCAATTAAAGAAAAAAATTTGATGTATGAAGTACATTCGTGATTAATTACAGAGAATTCGGCATTATAGACAACATTTCGTTTATTTTTTAAATAAAAATGTCTCATTTTGTTTCTTTCTATAATTTCAGAGTGAGAAGTCTTCAAAATATAATTACACTTACAAGTGAACCTTTACCGTAAGTAACATTCATTTATTTTGTTAATTTGCATACAAATACGCTTTTGTATTTGTTTATTGATAACACAAAAATTATTTTATTAAATACCTGACTTATAATGTATTATATAATAATTTATGCAGTAAATATTTTTTATAAGAAATTTAACTTAATGAATTTTTTCTCTTTAATTTTAACTCATTAACAGAGGAACGTATAAGTTAAAAGATATACAAAAAAATGATGGAAGTGAAAATAGAAAAATTTTTCACCAAAGACAGAAAATAATCCAGTTTGATGATCCCTGCACTATTATGTTCACATCGGTTTGTATATTTTATCGTATTGTTTTATATTATTATGATTTTCAGGGTTAGCATTAGGATGTCCATTGCTTCAATCTGTAAGCCCTTGTAATGTAAACAATTCGTCCTTTTAAANAAAATTATTATTAACATATGTACTGTACAGTACAGTACTGTACAATAAATGTAAAAAATATAAAATTAAAAGATATATATTAAAATAGTTTTTGTTTTTGTTTGTAACACAAACTTTTTGGTGGGGTCGATGTGAGGTTTCGAAAAGTTGCAGGGGGTCGACGATGAAAAAAATTTGGCGACCTCTGGTCTAAATTGTCGTAAGTTTTTACACGGAGTAATTTTTCACATCTCGGATTGTGTTTTGGTTAATAATTGTATTATTATATGAAGATCGAACGCGCAACCGAACACTCATTATTCATTTCGGTCAGTGTCGAAATGAATATTGAAAGTTCTGCCGCCACTAACCGAGCGCTTCCGATGCACCGTTTACAAAATTCGTTATGAAAAGTTTTAATTTGCATAAATGTTAGCATTTGTTATTCTGCGTAACATTTGAATGAAAATCATTCGTTTCGAAGCAATTTTATTCTTATAAGCATAAAATTAAACCATAAAACTGAATTAGCTCTATGGGAAAACTTTGATCTATCGACCGGGAAGTTTCGCCAGCACTCACTGATAACGAGAAGAGTGAAATTTGAGCTTTGCACACTCAGTAGTTTTTCCTCTAGGAGAGTTTACAATGCCGGATGAATATAAAGAAGAAAATACAATTATTACGGCGATTTCTGCACTTGTCGATTGCTTATATTTCGGCAACTCCTTTATAGAAATCTTGACATTTTACACACTTAATTTAAAAAAAAATTACCATTCGAATGAGATATTTGTAATTACTTTAGACATTTGGAGTGGAGAAATCGATTCCCGAAAATCGACAATTTGTGATTCCTGTTTAAATAGTCAGTCAGTGACTTTTTTACTTGTCACTCAGTCACTTCCATGACTCTCAATATCGCATAGGGTCAAATATACAAGTACAATGGCTAGAATATATATTGTGTCATTCGTGTCTAAAAACAGGTATGAGAATCCAGGAACTGTTTTCTCTATAAATTTTTAACGAAAAGATACGTTTAGAAACTTCCCTTTTTACCGTCCATTTTCCACGGAGTTAAAAAACCGGAGAGTATCGAATGTTAACATAACTGTCAACAAGGAATTCATGTTTATAAGGTCTTCGAAGCGACAAAGTCCTTCCCCCCTCGCATCGGCCCGCGAAATTAAAAATATATTAAAACAATCAATTGTAAAGTGTGCGAAAATTGACACTTTAGTTCACGGGGGAAATCCAAAAACAATCGAAGGAAATACTAAACTTTCGAATTGACTTTGTTTAATTTTCATCATGCTAGCACATTTCAGTTCTCCAACTGTTTAGAACTGTCTTCCATTTTGATGCTTGTTGTTGCCTGAGTCTGGCGTTGCTCGGGCAAAAAATAACAGCAAAAATTAAAGATTATTAGATTTTTTCGTATTTCTAACCCTTCAATTATATTATATTATATTATTTGATTTATAATTACAAAGGTATATAAATCAAATACTATAATATAACAAACATTAAAATATCGCGATACTCGGATGGTACGAAATGGCACAGTTTCATTAACTAAGTAGATACCAACGGAAAATACAGTAGAACATCGATTATCAACTCCATTGGGGACTGGGGTTGGTCGGATAACTGAAAAAACGGATAACCGAAAAGTATGAAAAAATACATTATTAATATAGCATACTAGTACAGTAATACCCCGAACTTACGTGATAGGTGGGACCTAGCGATAACCGCGTAAGTCAGGGTATAATTTCGCAATTTGTGTAAAATCCAAGTCGGATGTATGTCAGCTAATAAATGTTCTCATTAATCTCATCTCTTCTTTTGATTCGTTCACGGTTACAAGAAATCACCACATAGAGTCTCTCAAGTCTTCGTAGATATAACAAACACAGAAATGTTATAACACAAAATAAATTGTAACTGTGTCGATTCCGCGCGATACATCCGAACATATAAGCTGAACAATAGTGTGGGGGGAGTGAGTAATCAAGAGTTGCGTGGCGCTCAAACATAAGACGAATCGACGAGATTTGAAAATCGCGTAACTCCGGGTTCGCGTAAGTCGAGGTATTACTGTATATTCTATGTAATTAGTATATCAGTATATCGCTATTAGCCTACTTCGCGTTGAATTTTCATCGATTTTAAGCCAAACTAATACAGTCGACCCCCCTATAACGTACGTTCCTATAACGACAATTCCTATAACGTAGCGAAAAAATTGTAGAAACTTTCGTATAACGTACCTCCTATAACGTCGTTTNGCCTAAATTCTCCGTAGCGTGGCGCTGGACGGCGGAAAGTAGTTCAGCTGCCCAATAACGTTTTACCGAATTATAGGAGTTTTTTTACCAGGTTTGTACGGATACCGTCGCAATTTTTTCGCCGTCTTATAGGAATCGTAATTATAGGAACCCGTGATATAGGGGGGTCTACTGTACTATAAAATGTTTGACTCTCTGTACTACAAATACTAAAGGGTCATTTCTATCTAATCTAATATGGGTTCGGTTAGGCCCACACAGGGTGGCAGGGTTCAAAGACTGGGCTTGTCGTATCTGGCACATCCAACCATTTGGGTTGAAAAATTCCTGGGGTTTTCCTACCCGTCCGATTTCGTTCCAGTGTTCCCTGGAGTGATTATATGACTCCTTCTCTGATCGGCTATCATTCCTCATCACCTGAGGTTATGTGAAAATGGAACAAATCGCATTACATCAATTTTCCAGGAACGTTTTCACGATCTAACTGAGTTGTAGAAACAGAATGTACAGTAAATAATTTTAAAGGAAAACAGTCAGTTATATTATAATACAGTCGACCCCCCTATAACGTACGTTCCTATAACGACAATTCCTATAACGTAGCGAAAAAATTGTAGAAACTTTCGTATAAAATACCTCCTATAACGTCGTTTCGCGACAAGATTGATAGAGTCTGGACCAATAGTGGATGAGCAGCCGAACTACTTTCCTCCGACCCTGCGCCACGCTACGGAGCGGCTAAATTGAGTTTGCTATCGTCTGTTTAGTATTATATATAAATTATATATAAATTAGGTACTGTACATATAATTATATATTAATTATATA